TGGAGAATGGACTTCATTTTTGCTGTCCTTACTGAGCTGCTTCTCCTAGAGTGTTGAAAGATATCCGTGGACATGCCTGGTTGCACTCCACCCTGCTGGATCCCTTACGGGGCCTCATGCAGCTGGCTTTGGCTGGGAGATAATATCCTACTGTGTGCTGGCAGCATCACTGAGAGGTTAATCTTCCAAAACTGGAGTTTTACCCCATAAGATTGTTGTAATTCTCTTTTTCTTCCCATGTCCATCTCTTTTGTATCTACCTGATATTTCTGTCTGATGTCATAGAGTTTGTAGTGGCTCAGTTCTTCTGATGCTTGCCTGTTTCTGGGCTTCTTCCGCATAACAATCGGGGACTTTTACCTGACAGTCTTTGTCGTAACCCTGCAGAGGTCTTAGGGAGAAGCATTTAGTCCTGGGAGTTGTTCTGCATGGTGCACTTTGGTTGTGTGCCGAATGTTTTTGCTGGTCTGCAGCAGTTTGGGAGGTGTCAAGGATCTTCTGAAGCTACACTAATATATTTTTCTACAAGGACTTCTTCATCATTAACGCCCCTGTGTTAGCGCTCTCAGCACTGCTTAGTAAGGCTCTGAGGACAAGTATGAGTGGCCGACCATAGCAGGTAGTTTCTGGAGCAGCGTTTAGTTTCACTTTCCCACTGTAGAGTGATGATTTGTAGACAGCAATGAAGCTGGAGGCAGTTTTACAAATATGTCTGTGGAATAAAAACTGAACTGTAAGCTAACTGGGCCACACGGTGGCACAGCGATTAGCACTGTTGCCTCACAGCTAGAAGGTCCTCAGTTTGATTCCACCATCTGTCTGGTTCCTTGTGTTAGGTTAGGCTGCTTAGGTTAACTAGAGATTCTAAATTACCCATGAGTGCAAATGGTTTTAGCCCTTCGATAGACTGGTGACCTGACCAGGGTGTACCCTGCCTAGTCCTATGGTAGCTGGGACAGGCTCCAGCACCCCCACGACCCTAGTAAGGATAAGTGGAAGAAAATGGACGGATCTAAACTGTGGTCTGACCAGCAACCATAGTTATCTGACTGTTAGTGAGCTGAAAAATGGTTTTTAAAAAAAGCTTTGCCACTCAGTAACTGGTGCTCCAACGAGTTTCTGACTTCACCTATTTCACTTCCTATAAAACTGACAAGAAACAGAAATAGCAGTGTGATGCAGTTCAAGTAATACACGATCATTTTGAACTCTCAAATTCAAGTCAGCGCTTCATTTTTAGATTTGTCTGAATGAAAACACACACACACACACACACACACACAACACACACACACACACACACACACACACACACACACACACACACACACACACCACAATTGGACAGTATTAGCGTTGAACTTCTAAAGTGTGAGATGTGTGGAAAATAACTCTGGATTTCTGTGACATCTAGTGGAAATGTGAAGGAACTGCATTATAAATTTCTTTTTGTTTTTATTGCCCCAGACCAGTATAAGTAATCACCAACCACAACAGTGTAGCTGTTATTGTTTTCACGTTGTCAGTGTGTGTATGTGTGTGACATTAAAAAAAGCTCTCTGAAAGTCCTCAAATGTGCCTTTGGAGTGTTTAATGCAGCAGTACCCAGGAGACAAACACGTGAAAAAGCCCCAAACGCTTTAGGGAGAGCTTCTGAAACGAATAAGAATCGTTATGGTTGACAAAAATCCACCTATGCTGGAATTTCCATTGAGTGGACAAAGTAAAAACATCCTTAGAGATAGGATCTTCGTAAGGATTACAAAAATAACAACATTTACAAGCAGACACCAAGTTCCCCGTGATATGCATAATGAGACATTTTACAGTTTAATGAGGAATAGCCCACCTTGATTTTGTTGGCAGCAACATAACTCAAAAAAGGCCCTGACATTAACCACATCAGCCCTCCCTGTGTTGTCAGTAAGCTATGAAACATTAAAGGACACCAGCTGAGCATTTGCGCACTGGTTGCAGTCTCCGTGCACGAAAATAAGAAAACTTGCGAGAGACTCACAACAAGAAACTGTGTTGATGTGATGTGCTGGAAGTGAGACGGATGAAAGAGTTAGTTTAGGTAAGCTGATATGTAGCAGGATTTATCCAGACGATTTAAATTTGGCGTTTACGTGGAGATCCACGATAAATATTTGTTTGGACTTTTTTGGGTTACCACTTTCTGATTCGTGTCCTGCTGCGCCCTCAGGCGGTGGGGGCGTGCACAACCGCAAATACTCCTGGGAAATGTTGGCGTTCAGTCACAGTGATTGTATTAATGTGACATAACTTCAGTTTGCGTGTGAATTCATTTAGAGGAAGTCTCTTTTACGGCACTGATGTTCATGTGTTTGCAGACACACGCCGGTTCGGTGAGCTACAGGCGACGAATGAAAAGATGTAAGAGCTGAACCACCACAATGGAGCAGCAACGGCTAGAGTTAGTGTATCGATCCATTTATGGTCCAGTAATATTTGTTTTCATCGCTGTTGTCATATCGCGTTGTTTACCTTAATGATGTAACACGCGTTCGTCACATCAAGCCCTCATTGTGCGCCTTTTTGCCTCTGAGACGCTCTGATCTGAAGCGGCAGACCTTTAAACTCAGACAGAAGGATGTTTGATCGTCCGAAGGAAATGCTCTTTGGATTCAGCTGAAAATAAACGTGCCCACAGCGGTGACAGAGCTGGACTCGTCATGGAGACGCGGCTTTGTTCCAGATGTTGTTTTAGACTTGAGATCTGCGCGTAAAAGCTGTCCGTGAGTAACAAATCACTGCACGTGAACACTGTGGGATTAATCTCGTGTTAGGTGATCTAAATATATCCTTCTCAATGAAGTTGCGGCTGCTGCGCCACGTGCGTAAAATGCGCCCCGAGAATGTGGAAACGTCATGCTTTGATTTTCATTTGGCTGAAAATAAACAAGACGCTGCTGCAAAGACACGCGCAGATACAGCCATCCACTTCACTAACTGTCCACAGACTGAGAACAGAGTCAGGGCAGAAGCTGTGAGTTAGCTGCGCTCACAGCCACGGACTGCATCTGGAAGCTTTCTTCCTCACTTGATAGGAAAAGGCGTCATTAAATCATCATCACCGTTTACACTCACTGTGTTTATACACCACTCTCCATTCATTTATTGGTTATTTTTAATTTATGGCTCTTTTCCACAGCATGTCTTTGTCCTGTCTTCCTCCCCTCATCCCAACCGGTCAAGGCATATGGCGCAGCCAAACCTGCTGGCGGTTTCCTTCTGCTAAAAGGGAGTTTTTCCTTCCCACTGTCACCCAAGCGCTTGTTTACTCATATCTTGAGTTGCCAGCCAAGGAGCTGATGAACTTTATTATTTTAGTTTGTTAAATTTTTTTGTTCCTATTCTGATCGAATTGGGCGTCAGTGTTTGTTTAGCAGTTCCACATCCAGTCAAAATGAAGTTACCTGTCTATGTCCAAACATTCAAACTGTATTCAGTTTGAATGTTGTTATAGATTGATAAGGATCAGTTTATGACTTTTATTCACTGTTATTTAATTTTTGGATGATGGCATAAAGTCTGAGAGAGGAGGACAGAGGGAGAGAAAAGAGTGGAGATCTAGTCAAAATCACAGAAAATTATGAAAATTCCCACATTCATTTATGATGATTTTACATAATTAAGCCGTGTGCTGTACTGTAATCAGTCATGGACTCCCAACTTGATACTATAGTAATTTTTATGAGATGATATTTTTGTCTTTTTGTAGTTTCTAGTTGAGTAATGAGGAGAGAGGGGGGGGGGGGGAGAGAACAGATAATGAAGTTTGCTGGAAAAACAAAAGTTATTTTTCGCAGATACTCATTATTATTATTATTATTATTATTTTCATGGATACCTTGCATCTTCAGAAGCACACTTACAAAATTCCAGTGCAAATTCTATACAGAGTATATTGAATGGTGGCATTTTACAGGATTCGTACTCTGTCACTCTAAACGTGGCTGAACACGATGGTGCCACTACGTTCATGTGACGGAGTACAAATCTGTTCTCCACTCGTGAAATTGTGATGCTTTATGCTGAGTCTGCATAATAAAGGGAGGGTTTGTATGAATTCAAAAACTTTAATATGAAACATAATATTGCCAGTTAATATTTAATGTTACCAGTTAGCTTGGCGTACAGGTCTGTGAGCAGCAGGGTGATTTTCCATTGCCATTGGCAACACAATTCCTCCACTGTTTGTGTTCCCACACATACATTATGCAGACCTCTGTGTCAGAGATGGACCAGTAGGAAGTACTGGTAGTGGAAATAAATCAGGATGGGTGCAAGAAACAGATTTCCTCATCTTTCTGAGGCACTTTGCAAACCACACCAAGGTAAGCCATGATAAAAAGTAATGGAATTGCGATGCTGGTGAACAACTACATTTTTTCAGCTTCATTGTTATGTTAAAAATTGGTGCAAGAGTTGTAGGTTATAATGCCCACTGAGCCAATGAGGCCAAACTCAAGGAAGACCAACCAAAATTAATGAAATATTCAGTTGCAGAAAATTTTATAATTTGTCTTTTTTGGGGGGTTGGAATATGTTCAAAAGCTAGATTTCTGCATTCTGTCACACACACACAAATAGCTACATAAATGGCTCTGAGTGCATTCATGTGTTGAATAAACAAAGATTACATGTTAATATTTTGTTAGTACCCTTATTTCATTGTGTTACATTTCACCCCAGGATATGTTACAACTAACCCAGACTATGGGGTTAATTGTAACATTTCACTCTTTGTGTTTGAGGTCATACCATGCAATGGGTAATTGTGCTGCAGAGAAAATAGCTGCACTATTTAATAGCAGAGACATGTAAATACTTTGCATTACATTTTTAATCCACTACCTTAAAAGAGCTCCAATTTACAGACAGAAATGTCAAAAATGTTACAACTATCCCCGGTCTCCCCTACTCTTAAAAGAGACATTTTTAAAGTCAACAATATTTTTTTTTAACTGCATACATAAAAGATATATAAAACTCACCGCCAAAAACTGATTGCGGCTTCTACCTTGTTACAGGAATGTTGTTTGTTGCTCAAGATGATGTGATATCATTCATGATACATTTGACATATGTTTCACATATTATACACCAACAAGTTATTTATAGCAGTTTAAATACAAGCAATCCGTTTTTGGCACAACACCATCATTTGATTTGGGCCCGAGGAAGACAAGAAGACTCATGTTCGTCTCTTTCTGTCAGACAATTTTTTTTCACGTCTCTGAATTTAAGCGACTTTTGCTTGGCTCATACTACAAACTTTTCTTCTTTCTCCCCTCAACCACAGAGCTTGATCTGCGCTAATAACAAGTCCATCAAACAAGACACACACACGCACAAACACGCGCGCGCGCACACACACACGCACAGATAAGGAGAGGTGAAGTGTCTTCGTGGCTAATTCCATCTGTTCCTTCATGTTTTGTTTTCTCAGTGCACACAAAATAAAACACAGACGAAGTTGAAATATGGGAAAAAGTTATCAGCTTGATTTTTTTTTTCTTGAATGGCTAAACTTCGTTCAGCGTGTTCGTTCCGCTGGGCAATTATTACCATTCCCGCTGTGCGTAAATGGTTCGCTCCACCCGCAGTTTTATAAGCTCCTGAAAATCTCTTTACGCGTCACGGTGTTATCTCTGAGTCACAGCAAAGATGAGCTACGGAGACCGCTACACGTCGTCCTCCTATCGGAAGATTTTCGGGGATTCTCCGAGATTCCCCGTCTCTTCCTCTCGCATGAGCGGTGGGTCTCCGCGGGGCTCCCCGAGCCTTCGATCCATGGCAGCGTCGCGCAACAGCGCGTCCTCTGTGACCCTGTACAGACGGGGAGGACGGACCTCCACCTCTTTCTCTACGGTGCCTACCGCCTCCCTGGACTTGTCCCAGACCTCCGTGGTCAGCAATGAGTTCAAAGTGATCAGAACCAACGAGAAGGAGCAGCTGCAGGTAGGTGTGATCACAGCCCGAGAAACGAAGAGGAGTTGCAGGAAAGAATGCGCAGCAGTGTAAAGGGGCCACCCCTGACGACGAGCTCACCGTGGACCGTTGCACCTTACTGTTTACTTACCTGTCTAGTTCAGACAAAGTTGCAAGACTTAATGACAAAGAAGCAGATACTTCCCTCCGAGTTAGATGAAGACCAAAATAGAGCCCAAAGGAAAGTGACAGATTAATTCTGAAGGGCAGCAGACACATTCTGGACATGGATACAACAACTGCTAACACGAGAGGCAACTTTGTTGGCCAGTAAATAAATAAATAAATAAATAGATAAATGCGCCTGTTTCTAGAGGACTTTGGGTCAGCTTCTGTTGTTTAAATGTGTTATTAACAAAATAGATGTGACAGTCAACAAAAAAAAAGCTTCTGACATTTTTTACAGTGCATGTTTATGGTATAATTATTCATTTATTATCAAAAAAATAATTTAACATTATTGAGTGGGCTACATACTGAAGTTAGAGGACAGAAACAAAGTAACAAAGTGGACTGATTCTTATATAGCGCTTCTACTCTCCCAGAGCACTAAGCGCTTTATACAACATGCCACATTCACGCAAGCACTTTCTTCTATTCTTTTAAGTGATTTCTAACTAACATTCACACTCCGAACTATGCATTGGAGAGTAACTTGGGTTAGTATCTTGCCCAAGGATATTGGGCATGCAGACGGGGGGAGCCAGGAATCGAACCACCGATCAGCAGATGACCTGCTCTACCTCCTGAGCTACAGCCACCACATGACAGGCAGCTTCCGGTTTGCTGCCTGTCATGTATTGAATATGCCAAATATTTTTTGGTAGTAAAAAAGTGTTTATTCTGTTGCACAGGGTCTCAATGACCGCTTTGCCATGTTCATCGATAAAGTCAGACACCTGGAGCAGCAGAATAAAGTGTTGGAGACGGAGCTGGTGACCCTGCGGCAGAAGCAGAGCGAGCGGCCCCGCGTCGCTCATCTCTACCAGCAGGAGATGAGGGACCTGCGCTCGCAGCTGGAGGAGCTGAACAGGGAAAAGAACCGAGTGCTGATCGAGAGGAACAACATGGAGGACGAGCTGCAGGTGAGAGAAAAGGGCAGGTTTGAAGAGGCAAAAGGAAGAAGTTTCTCCTCTGTTCGAATTTGAGTTAAAACAAACAAAAACATAGACTGTACTTAAAAATGGACACAAACATTTAAATGGATGGTATTAAAGAGATCATCTCCAGTAGAGTTGTTACAAAGGGGGGAAATAAGAGGAACTGCAGTTTTTAGCTTCATTCTTTCAGGCATGAAGGGGGCAGCTTGTTTCAGAGCTAGAGTCCACATTAGAATCAAACTTCTAGCACTTTCTCACTTCTTAACCCTGCTGTTTTGTCTCATTTTAGAAGCTAAGTGCAAAGTATGATGAGGAGGTGAGAGCGAGGGAAGAAGCTGAACAGACCCTGAGGTCCTTCAGAAAAGACGTGGACGATGCCGCCGCTGTCCGCCTGGACCTGGAGCGCAGGGTGGAGTCCCTGATGGACGAAATCGCCTTCCTCAAGAAAGTCCATGAGGAAGATATTGAGGAGCTGAGCAGCATGATGGAGGCGCAGCAGGTCTCTGTGGAGGTTGAGCTCGCCAAACCAGACCTCACCTCAGCGCTGAAGGAGATCCGCAACCAGTACGAGTCCATTGCCTCCAAGAACTTGCAGTCGGCTGAGGAGTGGTACAAGAGCAAGTTTGCGAGCCTCAGTGAGCAGGCCACGAGGAGCAACGAGGCCATGAGGGCCAGCAGGGAGGAGATCAGTGAGTTCAGGAGGCAGCTCCAGTCCAAGACCATTGAGATAGAGACCCTAAGGGGTGCCAACGAGTCTCTGGAGAGGCAGATCTCAGAGATGGAGGATACACACAATGCTGAAGTCACAGCAATGCAGGCAAGCAAACAGTACCTTTAAAGCAGTCTTTTGTACATTATGTTATGATTCATGCATAAACCTACAGTTAAAGCAGAACTAGAACCACAAATTCCATGCAGTTTTTGTGAGACATAAACAGCAACAATAAGAGGCAGAAATACTGTGCTACTCATATACGCTCGCTGGATGAAGGATTATTCGATCAAATCTGAGTAAGAACTGAAACTGTAAAAAGCCAAAGTTGAGACAACTTTTTTTTTAAATCGTTTGGGAGAAATCCTGGAAGGAGGTCATAATTATCTGTAAACCTGTAGAATAATAGGATTGAAAGTCTGCAGATATCAAGGTCAAGTTAATCATCAATTATGTCACAGCTTGAGTAAAGCTTTTGGCTAACAGCACACACCCCGGTGTCCCCATGGTGTCAAGGATTTAGTAGAAGGAATCCAGCATACAGATAATCCTACAGAATAATTGTGATCAAAGACTCTCTGAAAGCTGTTTTTTAAATACTCTCAGGGTTTAACGTGACATTCATTCAATAATTAGAACCGATCGATGGTGTGCCTGTTAATTAGAACCCATTTCTTATTTTTTATGTATCTCAACTAAAACCCAATCTGAACAACTCAACTGTAAACATAATGGAAAAAATTTACAGCCACACTCAAAGTTTTAGCTAAAGATAGGCTTAGCCTTGGTTGTTTAAACCCATAACTTCCTTACACTTCATGTAACTATTGCAAATTAACAGCCCTCAGCATCTTAGTGGTGTTCGCTTTATTAAATATTTTCAGGCATACCTGAACATGACATGCACATCTGATTATCTCTTTCTCCAACTGAAATTTGGGGGCTTGGGTTTTATTTTTGTGTCTGCCACTACCAAACCCACCACTGACCACTGGAAATTGACCACTCATCTTTATTTGAGAAGATGCAATATTCACTACAATATAGTTCAATGAAGAAGAAAACTACCACTTTCATGTTTGTACCATTAAAAATGATGCTATGGCGGTGAGATTGTTAGCTTAGTTTAGCATAAATTAGATCATAAAGAAACAGGGGGACTCTGAGAGCCTCCTTATGAATCAGAGAAAAGACATATTATTCAGTGAGCTTTAGAGATGCTAATAAAAGCATTTATTACATTTGGAAAGGTCCATGCTAGTTGGGTTTTTTTTTTTCATGTGCTAGGCTATGCAAGCTACTTGCTAGCTTTAGCTTCAGAATTAGCAACATTTTTTCCTCTAACAACAAAAAATTTAAAAACAAATTCACAAAATTATGTATTGAGGCTAAAATAGGGGGACACTTGACTATCTGTAAAAAGTTCTGGCTCTGTTTTTTGGGGAAATGAATATTTAAAACATGTGTAAGCTGTGGCACAGAGTTGAGCTTTGGTGTGTGGTCGGCAGTCTAATCAGCCTCTGTGGCTGTAGCAGTTCTAGTGAATTAAGTCTGAATGTCTATTAGCTTAACATCTGACCTGCTCAGTCGGATACCGGAAGGCCATCTGGCTTTCACTGGCTTTTTACGGGCAGTAAAGCTTAGTCCAAAGGTTGTTGAGACAAAAAGGAAATCCCTTAATAAACTTTAGAGGCGTCTTTATTACAGGAAACTACAGGAAAAAGAAATATCACAGAAAATGACTCAGAAAACAGAAAAAGTACGGCTACTGATTTAAAAAAAACAACTCTGTTTTGGTGTCATTCATTTGACAGTGCTGATATTCTACATCTATTGTCTCATTTCCATTGTAACAGGACACTATTAGCCAATTGGATACTGAGTTGAGGAACCTGAAGAGCGAGATGGCTCATCATCTGAGAGAGTATCAAGACCTGCTCAATGTCAAGATGGCCCTGGACATCGAGATCGCTGCTTATAGGTGCTAAGTGGATTCAAGAAAATGCAACCCTATCTTTTAGCTTAAAGAGCAAATAACATATGTATTGATTAAAGGTATTGCTTTAGTTCAAAGACCACGCAGAATAGCACTGTCTGATGAGGTTTTCCCAAAATAAAGTTCAAATAAACCCTCTTCAAGTTACATGTACTCCCTCAGTCTCATTGAAACTATAACTACGAATACATAAATATCGTTCCTAACAATTAATTGGCACGTCCATACAGTAGGGAGGCTTTAATTTACCCTCATACCAGTTGCAGAAAAGTAAATGTCAGTGTGTTAACCTTTTATTGAAGTTCCTCTGAAAATCAAACTGGCTATCTCTTGATGTACTCTATTTGTGTGCAGCTTGACATTTGTTTCCTATGATCCTATAAGGAAACTGCTGGAAGGGGAGGAGACCCACTTTAACTCAGGGATGTCCTTCAACTACACCTACCAACCTCGAGCCTCAACCAGCTCCTCCAGGAGGGAGAAAGAAGGAGGCGCGAAGGAAAGCTTCAAAGACGTCAGCGAGGATAAAGACGAGGCGGACATCAACTCCAACAACTGAAGATATACGGGGAAATCTGACATCATAGTTGTTAAGTCTGAAACAGATGTTTTGGAAGTAGTCTCTAAAGTCAGTGTTTTGAGTCATAGTCAGCATCCTGTATTTGACATTTTTGTTGTAGTTTTAAATATCTCCATTAACAACCGAAGAGAGCTAACATGACACTCCAAACATTAACCTTAGTACTAAATGTTAATGGGGAATCTTTCATTTTGCTGCAGCAGTTTCATGCACTCAAACCTGTATGAAATGAGGAAACAGACATTGCTTAGACTTTAAGGCATGGCTTCTATTTACCCACAAATTAAGGTTGTCAGTTCCACTTGGATATCACTAAAATGATAAGCAAATAAAATTACATGACTGGAACTGTGGTTTCTTATGATGACTCGAGGTGGCAGACAGATGTTATACTTTAATGAATGGAACAATAAATCTAGCTTCTCCAACTTCTTTCGTGAGTTTCTAACAATTATCAACAAGCTCCTAATCATGTGTTAAGCAAATAACTGTCGCCACATGCTTTCTATAATCTAATGCAGGGGTGGTGATCATAAGGCTTGGCTTTGCTTGGAAAAGACTCCAATCTGGCTCACTGCATGGCTTTGGAAAAATAGTTAATAGAAAATCAAATGATGGAAAGTTCATGTTTTTTTCACTACCTACCACAGAAAAAATATTTGTGAATGATTTTACAAGGTAATCTGGGCAACCAGAACCTTTTCTACAATTTTACACATTTATTTCTTACAATGAAAGCCCAAAAAGTCGTGCTGGCATATTTCTTTCATTTACTATTGCTGCTTTGTTTGTTTTTTTAAACGTGTAGAAACACAGACGCATGGTTAAAATTGTCCCTTTTCTTATATTAACCTCCTAGGACCTGGCGTCCACATATGTTGACATCACATTTTTGGTTACTTTAGACCAAAATACTCAATTTTGCTGTACAAGGGCCTGATATCCACTTACAAGGACATTATACTGCTACTGTTCTATCAAAATTTTAAACAAATATCCTCATATGTGGCTCTTATTTTTGTTAGAAACAAAAATTAGGCAAAAAAAAAAAAAAAAAATCTGCTAATTCTTTGTTTTTGCATTCATCAGGACCCAATCAGCCCAAATATCAAAGAGAAATTAAAAATGCATGCTGTGGAAGAGTTCGGGTCTTAGGAGGTTAAAACATTTCCGAGACTAAATGAGCAGTTAAACCTCTTTACACTGACAAAGAGGAGAGTTTGACTTTGAGACGACAGTTGTGATTTGCCACTTTATATGTGACTGACTTGAACTGGAACGGTCAACTTTAAATGCAAAATGAGTTTGACGTCCCTGATCTACAGGCTTTTATTGCACAGTATGTAGTGGCAGCATGTGCGTCACTGGTGGAACATTGACACTAGTGTCATTTCCCCCATAGGAACCATGTAGGTTAGGTGTACTGTTTATGGACAAGTGGATCCATAGTGTAACGCTTTACACGTTTGCCTAACGACAAGCAATTTCACAGATTTGAGCCCAGAAGGAGACAAATGCTTCTGGATTTTTCATAGGAAACTACTTAATACGCTAAATTATAAAATCTGAACAATTTAAAATGCTTTAGTCCATCCATTCAGATCTTTCTAAATCTCTAAAAACAGAGACCAAGGATGAATCAGGAAATATTTCTCAGTTGTGCTTTTATTAATTCAACCTGACAAAAGCAAGTACAAACATTTTTTTTACCAAACCATATCAAAGACTTTATACAAACTCCCTTTAAATAACTGTTTTTGTACTCAAAGTATTTTTGAGCTGATCAGTTTTTTCTATTAACAGCAGAAGGAAGTCAACAGCTCTTAAAAAACTATCAAGCTCTAAGAAGCAAGCGTTAACATACATAAATCTTTGGTAGTGGCAGTCCTTTTCTTGCAGCCCTTTAAATCACAGCTTTGTACTCAACATAAATCATTAAAGACAATCCCTGGGTTGCAAAAAGTTGGGTAAACTAGACAGATGCTGCCTATAATGCTATAGCAGCTTTACGAGTTTCCCCCCAGTCACAGTGGTTCAGTCCAGTTTCCGCTACAGAAACAGTAGCAAACAGTTTTAAACAAATCTTCAAACAACAGCCTAGCAGGAACAGAAATGTGTCATCTTCATTTATCAGGTCAAATTCATGTTATACACGTGGGTACCAAGTAGTTCAGATGGATGTCATCTGTGTCCAGCAGATTTGTGGTAACTATGAACTAAAGATAATCATCTTGTTTGTTAAAAATTCAATCAAAACAGTTCATTTTCCAGTCTGCTCAATGAAGAAGTAATACATTAAAGTTTGCCAGGTGCCAAATGTGGCTATGTTCAGGTTTGAATTTTATATGTTTTGTAATCAGCTAGCAACAATTCATTAGTCTAAAATCCAAGACCTTTATGAAGACACGAGTCTTATAAAGAGAAACAAAGACCAAAATGTCAGTTCAGCAGTTCAGATCATGGCTAAATCCACGCCTCATATTTAAGACTGGGAGGGCAGCACCAAGCCAAAGTGTAGCACCAACAAACCGTCCTGGAGGAAAGACAAACAAAAGCAAAGTGATTACTCACAGGATGATAACCCCCAGCCTTCTGTAAAACTTCCAATGTTATTACAGGTTAGTCCTACTACGTGCTTTTCTGGTTCTAACCTGTAGTGCATCTTCGCCCACAAAGTTCTGTACTTCTTTGAGTGACTGGTAGTGATCTAGGAGGTGATCTCCACAAACCACATCTACCTGCCGGACACACACAGACAGCATTACAGACCATCACAGTGATTCCAAGCGAGAACATTGGGTAAAAATCAAGGCATTCAATCCAGACCCCCAAGCTGAGGTACAAAATTCTGGATTCGCAGTTTGTAACAGATCCTGACAAAGAAAAAGACCTTCAGGAGGAGTGTGGCCATATTTATCAGGAGGAAAGGTAAAGTCTTTAATTTCAAGAAATCTGTACCAACTGTTAAACACGATGGCGAAAACAGCTTCAGTGGTTTAGATCTAAAAAGAAGTTCAGGAAGCCTTGAGAAGGCTGAAGTTGGGACCTCAAACCTACTCACAATACAAAGCCTGTATATAAGTCCCAGCTGTGCTAGCAAAGCAAGCATTTTAATACAAATCCACAAATCCTGCGCAGAAGACAGGTCAAACATCCTACCAGTTATCTTACCACAAGTATAATTTGGACACTTCTCAGTAAACGCAAAATAAAGAAAACTTTGCATCAAATTCATGAGTTTTTCCCCCCCTCAAAGACATAAACATACTTCAAAGAAATGATTCTAATAGCGACATCGCCTTGACATTTCTCAGTGTGTAAACTTTGGAAGCAGGACGTAGACACCTGGCAGTTATAAATTAAAGCGCAACAAGATGTAAAAGCTAAGGTTGAACCTCAGATTGTTGGAACATCTCCTTCATTAAAAAGTGACCTGTAGGTTTGCCCAGACAGGAAACCTTAGTGTCACACTGAGACCAGGAAATCAGTGTAAGCTGCTAATCCTCTCCCCTGTGTTACGAAATACAAAACGCACAAATACCTTAAAACTCTGATCACACTTAATGTTTCTCTACTGGAAATGAGGACAATTCTGATATTAAGTTTATATATTTGCAGCACAAGCCATCTCCTACTGCAGGTTCACTACTCTGAGACAGAAATATGGTATCACTGTTCTAATAACTAGACTCTAATCAGATTACAGTTGTATTTAAGGACTCTCTGTTGTCCTTTAGAAGCCGGCAGCCTGCTGAGTTTTGACCTGAGCTGCTGAGTCGTCAATGTTCAGCTTGTATTCCCTGACGTGTACACGTGCACTCCTCATTCCTCTTATATTTTGATGTCTGGATATCTTTTCCACTTGTCTCCCATCAAGATGAACTGTTAGGAAGTTCTCATCAGCCAGTGAAACTGAAGAAGCCTCATAGAAGAAATGGGAAACATCCTCCAGACAATCCTGATAAACACTCAATAATTCTCATCATACGGCTTTTAGCAGAGCTCAGACAGACAATGTGTGATGGTAGTTACCGGGTTACAACAAGGACCCTACAGCGCCACCAGACACTCCTCCTCTCTCTCTTGCTTGGACATTGTTTACCTGTGCTCAGTTTTCAATGTTCTCCAATGAGTTTCTGTATTTTAAACTACTCGACTGGTCTTCTCTCTTGTTTAATCCACAAAGTATGAGTATAACATTATACATGTTATACTCATGTATAACAAACAAATGTGTAACAAATGAGTCACCCTCGACATCCCTACTTACTATCAAGATATGCAGAAATGCATCTCTTGCCCCACTGCAGCTAATAAAGGGTCCGGTGAGTTTATGTCAACCAAATATCATTCAAATAAACCGCAGGAACAAATCAGAGCGTTAAAAAGCCTTAATGCTGTAACATTCCTGGAGTGCAGGTTTCCATGCAAAACAAACCGATTCAATGTGCATCATCCTCCACAGGTGTATGCTGCCCTGACGTGTGCAAAATGAATGAGAATACATTTCTTTATTGGATCATGCATTTCATGTCTGCACGCCCTTTGACAGCCCTGTGGGCTCATAGATTGTTCCTACTTTAGAATAATATCCACACACTTGTTGTTCTCTTTAGTGTAGCGCTAAATTCTATTACTGTCCTGCTTCCAAGTCTGTAAGTGTGCAGTCTTGCACCGAGCTGTAAGCCTGGCAGATTCACCTGGCAAGATGGGCTCAGCTCCATCTTCCTCCTGATGAAGAGCTCCACGTGGCGAACGGTGGCCTCACCTGACACGCGGAGGTACCGCCTCTCCAACGGCTAAACGGAAAAAACAGAAACTGTATAAGACACATTTATAAAACCAAGACAACATTTTCACCCTCTCAAACTCTGACACCGATTTCTTGTTGTTAAACGTTACACTGAAACTGTAAGTGAGGTACTTTTTGCTCACTGTTTCTTGTAGCCTAGCCATGTCATTGCCCCCTCCCACCCACATAAAACCCCAAACTAATGTTACAGTAAGCAGGCTTGAAGTTAGTGAGGAACGCGCTGCAGCTGCCAGAAATGAGTCCTAAAACACGGGAAAAGATTGAACCATTTAAACTTTGCAGCCTATAGATATATGAGAACCACAAAGGGAAACATGAGACACAACTAGCCTTTAACAGGTCCTGAAATCAACGGCACATAAGTGTTATAATCATCTAAAAGCCTTCATATTAAAGACTTTACCTTGTAGTTGCAGATGCCCTCTTCAGCCCTGAAAACAAAGAAGAGATTCAAGAGATGTTCAAGTTTTTGGCTGTAAAGAAGCTGTCAGTTTGAGACAGTGGAACCACCTGCTGGTATTTCTATGTAACTGCACAATAAACCTGAAAAACCCATGTTTAACTTCAATCATCTCAATCGTTTTTCAAATCAGATCTTTAATGTAGGTCAGATTTGAGTATCTGGATGTCAACTTATCTATAAAACAAAAACATTAAAATCGCGTTCTGCTTGACCTGGCTGCAACTGACGCCGACACCAGATTTAAGCAGCAGGGCTGAAGCACTGTCCAAATATGACTGAAGCACAGTTCAAACCACCTCCAATTGGTTTGGATTTTTCTAAAAATAGTATTTCATTTATTTTTTGTTTTTTCCCACCAGTACAGCCTTTTTCAATTCAATCAGGGAGCAATCTATAAATCTGCCCCCCAAAAAGGATTTGGACAGAGTGTCTAAAGAAAGCCTTGAGATGTGGAGCCAAAAACTAAAGGCACCCATCCTTTTACGAGTCTCTCATAAAAGCATAAAAAGATCGTCCACCATCCTGCTGACAGCAGTAACTGCTCTAATCAGGAACCACAAAGCAGTGACTGAACTCTCAAAACAAGAGCTAGAAAGACTGACCACAAGTAAATTGATTGGGAACAGTGTTATTCTCACTAATGATTAACAAATACAAACAATCATACAGTACAAATGTTTACCCAACAAATTCCAGGAGCAGAGACACATCCAGCTCTGGAGGAACGGTAAACACAGACTGAGGAACGTTGTCCTTCTTCTGCCTCTTTATAACAGCAGGACATGGAGGGGAGACGATCACTGCAAGAGAGGAAGGAGAACCCTCAGCACTGCTGTGCTCCATCTTTACACTTACAGTTCTTGATCTGTAAATCTAAAAAGCATTTTTACTCGTTTCTAGTCTGACATTACTACGTTTAAGGAGTAACACAGGCTGCACAATTATAGCACAGCTCTAAAAATGTCAACCCTTAGCACTCCGTCTATCTTAAAGTAGCCCTTTAACGAATTCAAATCAGGATATGAGAGCTGACAGAGCAAACATCCACAGCAACAGGAATTACAGCGATACATCAAATTTGGATTTTGCATTTCAATCATAAGGCATCAGCAGCAGAAGAGAAAAATGCTTGAAAATGAGCGAGAGGGGGGAGCGCTGAGGCTTCGGGCTTCTCTTGGAAATGTGTCTGTGTTTAACATGACAACCCAGTGCTGTCAAATTATAAGAGAGAAAAGAAGAAGAGCACAGCAGCTCCTCGTTAAACACTAAACTGTCAAAGGTCATGTGGTCAGTTATTACTTTAGCTGGTACTTACATACTGTATATTACAATGTACTGGCCTTACTACACTTCAACAGCTGAAACGTGTTACCTGGTTTTGGTACATCCAGTCCTCTCTCTTTGTAAAAGCTGCACATTTGTTCTCTTTCAACTGCATTTTTGGGGGGAGAAAGAGAGAGATCACATTAAAATGTGGACTGGAAAATGCAGCACATCAGTTATGCTTCATATGCCTGCATACTCACGCTCTTCCAAGAAGGGAACCATTTTATAAACTATATCCTGAAGTTGTCTGTCAGGCCTGCAGGGAAACGAGACAAACCTGTGAATCTCATATCTCAATGCATACTCGTATTAAACATGGCTAAAGTTTCCATTGGGGAGGTCAATGCGTGTTCAAGTAGTCCCTGGAAAAAGGCGAGCATCCCTTACAGCATTTTTTCACTAGTACCTACTCAGCTTGAATCGGTTTTAGGGTTTTTCATTAGGTGGTAGCACCTGGTATCAGGTAGAGCAGGGCGAGATGACCAAAAATATTTATCACGATATACATTTGAAAATTTGCGATAACGATATAACTGATGATATAATTGACACTAGACAAAATACTTTACAACTCCACAACTTTATTAGTGCAAAAAAATAAAAAACAACTCATCTATGTATTTTCACTTAAACAAGCAGCTGTTTTTTTATGTGCATTAAAGTTATATAAAAATGTAACAGTGCAAAATTCTTGCAGACAGTTTAACCAAAACCAGTGGAAATTGGTCGACATATCCTCAGCATAACCATGTATAATATCCACAAAACTTAAAGAGCTTATACACACACAATACGGTAACACTATGTTGAAGCACAGTACGTATCACTCTGCGAGGCTCCGCCTACGATAGCCGTAACGCTCCGACAATCCATCAAGCGGTGCGGCGTCGTAGCTCAGCAAAGTCGTACTAAAACATTTGACAGATTTTCGAGCGCCGTGTACATAAAATCGTTTCGAGGTCAGTAAACACAACCAGAGTTCATACATAAGGCACACGGGATTATAAGGGGCACTGTCGATTTTCAGAAAAATCAAAGGATTGATTTTAAGTGTGCCGTATTTTGCAAAAAAAAACCAACACGGTAATAACGACGGCCCGCTAGCATGCTCTACCAAAAATAGTGCTTTGTAGAGCAGGGCGATATGGCCAAAAATATTTATCACGATATATATTTCAAAATTTGTGATAACGATATAACTGACGATATAATTGATGCGTGACAAAATACAACTCCACAACATTACTAGCGCAAAAAGACAACCTTCCATTTATTTTCACTTAAACAAGAAGCTGGTTTTTATGTACATTAAAGCTTTATAAAAATGTAACAGTGCAAATGCAAATTCCTTGCTGAAAGTTTAACCAAAAGGCATTTCCAGTAGAAATGGGCTGACATATCCTGAGCATAACCATGTATAATATCCACTGAAGTTAAAAAGAGGTGCTTTGCAACATTAAACTGCAGTGTGCAGTACGTATTTTTCGGACCATAAGGTGCACGGGATTATAAGGCACATTAAGCGAAACAAAGCAGTCAGATAAATCAAACTTTATTAAACTCATTCTTCTTGCTTCCTCCACTTCTGTACCATTGATTCATTAATGTTGAATTCTCTGGCAGCTGCTCTATTCCCATGTTGTTGCAGTATATTAATGACTAACCTCGTATTGTGGATGGATTATCTCAGTTGTTCTCCTGACTGAAGTTTGGTCCGTTTACAGCATCCTGCCATGCGATTGCATTTGTCTCTAACCATGAGGAACCTTCACGTTAACTTTTATAAGTGGAAAAGTGTTAGTGTTCGTCCTCCAGCTTCACTGTTTATGTTATGCTAACATAGCTGTGTCGCTAGCGATCACGTAGCACATCATTATATACCAGCTAGCCCAACTTCAGTAACCCTACAAACGTCACTGCTGTTTAGTTTCCTGTCTTCATTTATGTTGGAAGTGATAGCAGAGCTGTACGTTTGATTTTTTTCAGAAATCTCTCAGTCAGAACATGCTATATCATGCTTAGGTAACTAGCGAAACTAGCGAGCTAACTTCCGCTAGCTTCCTGCTAACTTCTAACTCCGTTAAATGTAATAACTTTTGTTTTCATGGATGCCTGGAAGTTAAACTTCATAGTTACACCTGGTAAAGCAGCAATGCTGATCGTTTTATTAAAGATGAAAGAATTTAGACAGTTTTTAACTCTTAGTGATGCTGCAGTGTTGTTTGACCTGAAGCATACGGAGTTTAGGACCCAGATTACTCCCAGATTTAAGAGCATCTTAGTCCGACGGCCGCTTGCATGTTCTGCAAAAAAATGTGCTTTTGTGTATCTGACGGACAAACACCAAACCAGTTCCACATCACTGAAGTTGCACCATTTTTACAAACCAATTCTGGTTCATCTGTTTCACTCAACAATCGGCCATGTGCGTATGAAAACAAAGGCACTGCGCATGCGCGTTTTACTCATATTCTATCGCGATATTTCATTTTCCTATCGTTGCCTAACATTATACCGGTATTACCGTGAACGGTATAATATGGCCCAGCCCTAGTGCTTTGTTGTGTATCTGACGGACGAAAGCTAAACCAGTTCCACACTGAAGTTGCAGCATTTTTACAAACCAGTTCTGGTTCATTCGTTTCATTCAACGATACGCTTTCGCCCTCATTCTCTGTCGCCGCCATGCTTTTTCCACCATGTGCGTATGAAAACAAAGGCACTGCGCATGCGCGTTTTACCCATTTTCTATCGCGATATTTCTTTTTTTTTTTTATCGTTGCCCAACATTATACCGGTATTACCGCCAACGGTATGATATGGCCCAGCCCTAGTATCAGGTACCTTTTTAGTGCCTACTCAGCCAGGGTTCCACGTGATTTGAATGTTCTGAAATGTGACATCAAAAGACTGACTGGGTAGCCAGTGGCATCATTCAAGTCATGAGAGCGACTCCATTTTTGGAGACATTTTTGAAACCCGGCTACACAAAAGCCAACACTGTGCACCCAGAGTCTGATAAAAGTCATAGACAGAGCAGCAGGTATTCCATCACCTCGATGTCCTCCATTGTTGTGTTGTGTTTGTGTTATGTACAAATGACGTAATGGGACTTTTAGCCGCTTTGCTATAACAACCCCATGCACATTTAGGAGGTACTCAATTTTAATGGAAAACAACCAAAACTGAGTCAAGTTGACACTAATGGAAAAGAGACATTAGTTACACGTCTCTAGGCTCAGGCTGCTGGGGTCACTGTGATAGACTCTAAAGCACTCATTTCTTCTCCACTCCCCTGATTTCAGTCCTGTCCCAAAGTCTTGAGCCACCCTTATTTCATCATATTCTGCTATGAAAATATGAAATCGTGCACATAATGGTTATTCAGCATATAAAGCACTTTACAGATGGAACTGCATGGCAGATCAGCCTCATACGATACAAGACAAATCAACATGATTGGCTGAAATGCAGCACCAAACCATGACAGGCTGTAAGAACTCCCTGCTGTACCTCTCTCCTCACCTGCTCCGTACTCTGTACAACCATCTGAACCAAAACTGTCTACTGATAGTACTGATCTGGCATAAAAATCTGCCAAATCACAACATGAAGAGCTACTCGCTGTGCTGACCCCTTTTGAAAAAAGCACCTGAAAGTTGCTTAGATGATTCCTATATGACCAAAATAGTCAGACTCACCTGATGTTGTAAAGAGGTTGTGTCTGATGGACAACAATGCTGCATGTGGGACACTTGTTGCTGTAGAAGAAGTGCTTCACAATGCAGCTTTTGCAAACTTGGGGAGGAAAGAAAAAGCACAAAAAATACTTTTCAGACATCAAATACCCATTTCTCACATGCCCACAAACATTTTTAAGTATCATTTAAATAAATCATTTACAATGCAAACTATGCAAACAGACACTGCTTCATATACATATTTCATGTATTTGTGGCAGTTACAAGAGTTTTGCACAGCACTGCATAAATGCTGATACCACCATTATTCCCACCACATTAAATCATTAAACGCAGCAGATAAAGATGTAACTCACATGTGTGCAGACACTCTGTGATGGTGGTGGCATCTATGAGGAACCCACAGCAAAGGGCACAGCGGATGTATGGATAGAACTGATTAAGGGGGAGCGTGGGCTGTGGAAATATAAACAAACCAACGTAAATGATTACATGATTTAAAAAAAAAAAATCACTATAACCTTATAATTACTTTGCGTCAGCTACTATTTATATTAACGTGTACATTCCGTGTAGTCCATTGTTCTGCTAAGTTCAGTGGGCAGGACAGCTCTTGAAGAGTAGATATAACTGTCAGAACAGCATGAAAAGCCGCCTCCATTATGAATAAACAGCAGGAAAAAAAACACAGGTGAGGGAAAACACCTGTAAACGCACCTCGTCCTCGGAGTCGCTGTCTGATGCGTTCGCTGACCCTTCATGACTCCTGCGACCTAACGGAGGCGATGACATTCCCGCTTCAAAACCCTTCACTCGTCTCTTTTAGTTACGGCCAAAATGGAAACTTAAACAGCTTCCTCTGGCTAAATTTCAACTTTGCACTAACGAGCGACGTTTTCTTTAAGGCTGGCTAAACTTGTTTTTAAGTTAGCCACGCTTGGCTAGGCGGCTAACGTTAGCTGGCTTATTACATGCAACACCAGAAAAAAAACGCACGTGAAAGCGGCAACCGTCTAGCAGCTAACGTTACTGAAAATGACTAAGTAAAAAACATCCTTCAGACGTACTAATGCCTAAAAGTTACATTTAACATAAAACGATATCACGTCCTAACTTAATGCACTTTGTTGCTTTCTTCATGCTCGTATAAACAACTCAATTTCCCTCGCTCGTGTTCGGCGAATGGCGACTATATTACAACTTCCGGTCTGGGTACTTCAAAATAAATGTCATCTGACCCTAGACTTGAGCATAAATTATACATAAAACCTACTCTTTTCTTTATCACTAATATATAATTAATATACTGTATTGAATATATTGGTTGTCTGTCTCTGTGTGTTGGCCCTGCGACAGACTGGCGACCTGTCCAGGGTGTACCCTGCCTCTCGCCCTATGACAGCTGGGATAGGCTCCTCCGTCCCCCGCGACCCTGAACAGGATAAGCGGACGCGAATGGATGGATGGATGGATGGATTGAATATATAGTGGCTCCCAAGTGTTCTTTAAAGAAACTTTCAACAAACAATTGTATGCCTGTCTTTATGTGTTTAAGTAGCTGCTGTTGTTAGAAAGCAACTGAACCTTCACAGACTCTGACTCGGCAGGCAGGTTGACATGTGCCGTGAATGACTCTGAAAGTGTTGTAGCGAAGGGTTGACTGCGCTGTATGAGATACTTATGGCTCATGGAAATAGACACTTTGTAACGAATCAGTGAAATTCCTGTTAATCCTCCTGCACAGAAATTGGCTGTAATTCAATAGGCGAACAGCAGAGGGTGCTTCTGAGACAGTCTTCAATGAATAGCTAGTAAAGGAGCTGAACGGCTAAACTAATTACTAGAGCTCCATCCACACGAAATAAAGTCCAGACAATGTAGTGACCAGAGATCATAGATAGAAAGTTAACTATAGGCTGTTGCTTGACTGAAACGTGGCAACAGCCTATTGATTTTGTTTCACTTAATGGCTCTACTCCATCTGAGTTTGTTTACATCTGTCAACCTCGCAACTCCGAGCGGCCTCGCGATAATTCACCACAAGCACTGGAAAGTTCTCCCTGTCACCCTTCCACTCATTTGATAACGTCGCTACTTGGATCTACTCCCACTATTATATGTACTGTGTACCGGCCACCTAAGCCAAATAAGGATTTTTTAAATGACTTTGCTGCTCTTCTCACTCATTTCTCGGTAGTTTCCCCAAATTTGATAATTGTTGGTGACTTCAATATCCATATGGACAATGATAAAATCCCTCTTTCCAGAGATTTTACTTCTTGTCTGGAAAGTTTTGGGCTTCTACAATACATGAAATTTCCTACTAATTCTAAAGGTCATATCTTGGATTTGGTCTGCTACTCTGGCGTTACCTCCACTCGCTGTAAAGCCCATTTGTTTCCCCAATCTGATCATAAGTTTATTTCTTTTACTGTAAATACAACAGCCTCAAAAACCTGTACTCCCCGTGACATCACATTTAGGAAAATTAATAATATTAACCCTGCTGATCTTTCATCTGCCATTTATGATTTTCCATTTGTTCACAGCACCTCATCCCCAGATGAACTTGTTTCTCACTATAATGTCAACCTCCACAACCTTCTTAACATATTTGCTCCACTTAAACACCAAACTGTCTCATTTTCCCCCTTTCAGCACCATGATTTACTCTTAACCTGCGCCATCGCAAAGCTAAAGGACGCCAAATGGAACATCTGTTCAAGAAAACTGGACTTACCATACACAAAGAAATGTATAACGATCATATCTGCATTGCTTCAGCCAAATCTGCATACTATTCTGGGTTAATCAGCTCTAGTAAAGGTAACTCCAGGTCTCCCTTTTCATTGTTTAGTAAAATTACAAAACCTCCGGACTCATTCCCCTCTCATATGGACTCTGCTGACTTTCGCAACTCTCTTATATAGTTTTTCACTCATAAACTGTGAAGTAGACTTTCTGTTTCCCTCACTGTCTTCCTCCCAGTCATTTTCATTTTTACTCTTCCCTCCATAGCTGATGTATCAAATCTTATTCAAAAATCTAAATCATCCACTTGTCAGCTTGACCCTCTTCCCACTGTGTTAGTTAAAGCTTGTCTTCCCTCACTGGCTCCTCTCATAACTAGTATTATCCACTCTTCCCTTAACACTGGAATTATTCCTCTCTCCCTGAAAACTGCTCCTGTCACTCCAATTCTCAAAAAGCCTGCTGCAGATCCCAATAATTCTGATAACCTCCACCCTATATCAAACCTCCCCTTTATTTTGAAAATCCTTGAGAAAGTTGTTGCCTCCCAGCTTCACTCATACCTCAATGACCATAATCTCTACCAATTTCAGTCTGGTTTCCGCCCCATTCATAGTACAGAAACTGCTTTGTTAAAGATTACGAATGACCTTCTGATGGCAGCTGATTCTGGTCTTTTAACCATTCTCATCCTTCTTAATCTTAGTGCGGCATTTGACACAGTTTCTAATAATATCCTCCTGAACAGATTAGCATCCATTGGCATTAGTCACACCTCCCTTGCCTGGTTCACCTCATATCTCTCAGACCACACTCAGTTTATCCAATTTAATTCCTACTCATCAAGTCTCTATCCTGTTTCTGCTGGTGTGCCCCAGGGTTCAGTATTAGGGCCTCTTTTATTCATTATCTACATGCTCCCTCTTGGCCAAATATTCCAAAAATATAATATAAATTTTCATTGTTATGCTGACGACACCCAGCTCTATATTTCCTCCAAACTTAATTCATCCCTTCCACCTACCTCCCTCTTGAAGTGTCTTATGGAGATCAGATCTTGGTTCTCCTCCAATTTTCTCAAACTTAACAGTTGGCGTGTGTCGTTGGCACAGCCTCTACCTTAACCAAATCTCACAGTTTCCCCATTAATATTGAAAATTTCCCCATCCTTCCATCCCCACAGGTAAAGAGTTTGGGTGTCATACTTGACAGTACTCTCTCATTTCAGCCTCACATTAATTACATAACCCAGTCTGCATACTTTCACTTACGTAACATTAACCGACTTCATCCCTTCCTTACTCCCTGGGCTGTTGCCATCCTTGTCCATAGTCTTATTACTTCCCAAATCGATTATTGCAACTCCCTCCTATTTGGTCTCCCCAGGAAGTCCCTCCATAAACTTCAACTTCTTCAGAATTCTGCAGCTCTGGTCATAACTCGTACTCCCTTTAGAGCACAGGTGTCGAACTCCAGGCCTCAAGGGCCGGTGTCCTGGAGGTTTTAGATGTGTCCTTGATCCAACACCGCTGATTTAAATGGCTAAATTACCTCCTCAACATGTCTTGATGTTCTCCAGAGGCCTGGTAATGAACTAATCATGTGATTCAGGTGTGTTGACCCAGGGTGAGATCTAAAACCTGCAGGACACCGGCCCTCAAGGCCTGGAGTTCGACACCCCTGATTTAGGGACTATATCACCCCACTTCTTCAACAGCTTCACTGGTTGCCCATAGAAGCCAGGATAAACTTTAAAATATTAGTTCTCACGTTTAAGTGTATTCATAACCTTGCCCCTCATCTCTGTGATTTGCTTCATATCACCACAGTTTTCCGCTCTCTCATCTGCTACACACAGCCTCCTGCGTTAAGTCACCTTTGTTTCCATGGTAACATAGAGATAAGCAGTCCTAATGGAGTTACACGTTGCACTGATATGACCATCACAGTTAAGACATGTTGTTATAGATAAACCAAAGCAGCATTTAGAACAGACCTTACATCAGTGTTAGGGGGCCTTGTGTTAATGTAGCACCTCTCTGAGGAACATGAACCGGAAAGTAAACATCCCACGATCAGAAATAAATCTGTAGACTTACAGAAAGTACTCTCAGCTTATTTGGACTTTATCCTGTAATTTTTTAAAAAACAAAACAACAAACAGAGCTCGTCAGCTAATTCACAAGAAAGTTTTTTTCTGTCATTTTGTGAAATACCAACAGTAAAAACATATTTTTCTATTTTTTAACGGCTGAGCTCAATGATCTCTCAAAACAGGAAGTGTTTTCAGTTAAGTCGTTGTTTACCTATAGGAAGTGTATTTCAGCAGAGATGGGAACTGATAAGAATTCAGCCATCCTGATTCCTTATCAGTTCCCCGGGTTCTCATTGGCTCCACTCTCAGAGTCACCGTCGTCACTAAGCAGTATATCAGGCATTCATGCAAATTAATTGCTTGCTGTGGATGTTGTCTGTGCACACTGGAGCTGTTTCTGCTCTTATCAGTGTTGTTGTTGTTACTAAAAAGTAACGCAGTATGTTAAGTACCAACTCCAAGGAGAAAGTAATTCATTACAGTACTCATGACATTACTTTCACACTTCTCCATAAGAGAAGTGAAACACACTGTGTCATAACCAGCATTTAACAAAGTAAACTTATAGGCCATAGGCTAAGCCTACAAAAATCCCAATCCTAATGAGAACACAGATACGATCTTTCTCCTGGTATTTAGATATGAAAACAACAATAAAAACCAGCAAAAAGAGAATTTAAAGTGACAACAGCCTCGGTGCATAGCTGCAAATTAAAACGTTGGAAAAAGAAGTTGCAGAATTCAGTTTTCCAAGGACACAAATCATACTGTTCTGACAGCCACCTTTCTGCAAACAACAACAACAAACAAAAGGCATTCCCAGCTGTACTTTGTATGTCTACAGTCAAATATGTGAAAACCACTTTTCTTTTCATGTCATGACTTTAAGTAGCAGTAAGGCATTTTTACATTCACGCGTCACTTGAGTCCAGAATTGCTGTTAAATAGTTGAACAAAACTCATCACTCGCCCTGGACGTGTGAGTCCATGTTTTCTATTTCACAACATGAAATATTATTTAAAATATGAATGGGGTCTGAATGCCAAAATTAAGTTAGTTCTGCTGTAAGGTGCAGATTTGCATCATGTTGCTAGGAAACAAACTGGTTTGAATCAAATTTATTTTCAAAGCTGTAACGGTGTCTTACTTTTAGGATTTCTGTCACAGGCCTACACTTGGTTACAACTCTGCTTATTTTACAAATTTGTTTTTGTTTTTCTTCAGTTGACATGTGACCAAATCTGCACTCAAAAGCTGTATTCTGACATTACAGTTAAGTTTTGATGCATAATTGCAGTGGACGCCATCAGATATGAAAACTGCTATGCACCCAGTGAGGCTTCCAAACAGACGGTTCCTTCAGACGGGAGAAATGTTGAGTGGACCGACGTACGTTTCCCTTCTGCTTTCTGAGGATCATAACAGGACGTCAGCTCTGTGCTTTGCTGTCTGACTCTGTGCTTTACTCTGACAGAAAATGAAAGTCTATCTGAATTCTGACCAAACTGTTACTGCCAAGGGTCTGCTCAGCATGTTCTCATCTTTTGGATGTGTCATCTCTGTTCAGGTAACTGTCTTACAAACGTGCTTTAGAAATGCAAAATTCACTTTCATTTGCTTCACGATTTTCCTCTCGTACTTCAGACGATTGTGAAAAACAATCACAGATACGGGATGGTGCATTACCGCAGTGCCGATGAAGCTGCCGTGGCTTTGAGGGAAATGAAGAGCAGCACCAAAGTCTTCTTCGTAGCTCAAGTAGGCATCAGGGAGGTCAGAGAGGGCCCCAAGGATAAAAGATCCGAACGTCCCCATCGAGCACCACCAGGCAGCTGTAGTTACCGCCCACTGCACAGACGTCCCATTCTGTGGGAACCACTGTTTCCAGCTTACAGACAGGTAATGAAACATTTGGACTCCCACAAAAAAGAAAAAAAATCTTAAGGTTTGTTTTTTATGGCTGATGATGGATGTTTTGATAATTTTATGAAATCTTTTGTTTTTCTCTCGTCAGACTGTGTCTATTGAAATTGATAACCTCCCACGATCTTGGTATGAAAGAGACCTGCTGCTCAGCCTCCTCCCTCCCACCACCATTGATGTAAAGGTGCTTACTCTCCAGCATTTAAAAGCACTGATTCAGAGAAATACATATGTACACAGCACTGAAAGTTTTAAGTACTGTTTCTATTGTTTTAACATGTATGCTCTGTATTATGACCGTGCAGATATTTAAGAGAAAAGCCTGTGTGGTCTTGCCGGACTTCTCCAGTGCCTTGAGGCTCAGGGATTTGTTAAACAGTGCCCTTCACCACCTCCGCTTTATCTTTTCACCTCGTGGAAGACGGAGGTGCCCCACAGTGAAGATATCAGCAGCCGGCACCGTGCTCTGCTCTCGGTGACCTGTGACCTCTGCATGCTGTTACATATACAGATCAACACAAAAGCAACAAAAACACAACTTCAGTATAATAATAAACGTAAATGCTGCTGTAGAGCTGGACCCATTATTTCTGCATTACATGTGTTACATGATTAAAACCAGAGAAAACAGGAGCTTAAAAGATGGGAAACAATAACACAACCAAGATGCACAGTGATCATGGAACCTGAGTGGGATATATTAGAGAGCAAGTGGCCATTTTTTCCTCAAAGTTGCTGTGCTAGAGTCAGTAAAAAGCACAAGGTCCAAAATGTGATGGCTGGATGGCTGGGTCAGCTTTGGGCATCTCCAAATCTCCAGTTCTTGTGGGGTGTTCCTGGTCTGCAGTTGTCAGTATGGGGAGTGAAGGCTTGGCTGTGAGGTCCAATCCAACAGATGAACTACTGTAGCTCAAATTACAGAAAACATTAATGCTGGTTCTGGTAGAAAGGTTTCAGAATACACAGAACATCACAGTTTGCTGTGTACTGGGCTGCATAGCTGCAGACCAGTCAGGCTACCCATGCTGACCCCTATCCACCACTATGAGCACCAACAATGGGCACTTGACCATCAGAACTGGACCACAGAGCAATAGAAGAAGGTATCCTGGTCGGATGAATCATGTCCTCTTTTACATCACATACATGCCTCGGTGCATGAGCCTGTGTGTAAGTGGCGACTGCCTGGTACCAGGATGCACCGCGGGAACAACACAAACCAACGGAGGCAGTGCTGTGCTGGGAAAACTTGGGTCCTGCTGTAAAACTGGGGTTAATGATTGATGTGGCGTGAGGGGGAAGTTGGCAGTCTCTGATCTGAGTAAACAGAAAGCTTACAAAACAATGCCCCACTAGTGACAGAATTCTGGCTACCTTGCAACAATGCCACCTAGGTTTAAATGAGCCTAGGAACTCTAATTTAGTTTCTGTTCCACAGGGGAGAGAATCGGAATCTTTATTAATCCAAGACAATTAGAACAGTAACCGACTGAACTAAATTAAATAATAAAATATATTATAAAGTTTACAATATATAAGAAATAGCTGTGATATATATAAATAGCTCAATTATAAATATCCAGAATATTACAGAGATGAGATATATATGACTGACATTTTACTCTAACCTGTCAAACTTTATTATTTCTTAATTTCACTGTAGAGCATGTGCAAAAGTAACTATTGCTCTGTGTACTGTGCATTAGATGGAGGAGTTGTACAGGCATGGATGACTTCCTGTGTCGTTCTGTGGTGCATTTGTGTAATCTCAGTCTCTCACTGAGCGTGCTCCGTTGGCATCTGCAACACCCAACCTGCCGCCCCAGCATGCAACAGCATAGAGGAAGAGTTATCACTGGCTCCGATTTGAGAGTCACGACCATCTCTGAGCAGCATATCAAAGACATTACATTTGTGCAAATTAATTGCATGCTGGGTTGTCAAATGTTTGTGTGTTGGAGGTATTTCCACTCTTTGTTTTATTAAAAATGGAAAAAACCCAACTTGGTTTTTTTTTAGTATACTTTTCAGTTAACGAAAATACTCACAAACAAGCTGCAGCTTAAGGTATTGCAGTCTTCAGCTGCAAGGGATTTTCATCCGAGTAAAAAAAATTTTTTGACATTTTATTTTTGTTAAAACCATTAAACTAAAGCTGAACTTCAATCACATCTTCTTTATAATCCACAAAGTCAAAATAGCAACAACAGTGAGTTGTTGTTGAGTTGTGTGACATCGGGTTGCCTCTGTGTTTTTTTGTTTAGGGAAGTGACTTCTGGTACATCTCTGTGCTGATGATGGAATACAACAGTCAGTTCCTGGGAATGAAGAGGCAGGAATAACAGTGACTAGCTTGTGTATTGTATATCTGAGATCATGTGACACATGTTCATTTTATGTGAACCATAAAGTACAATATGTATCATGAGTAGATGGATGTATTATCCTTTATTACACTCTCAAATACGATAACGTTTTTCTTCATCCTCCTGGTTTATTTGTTTTGTTTTCTTCGAGTCAGGTTATGCCAGATGTGGCATCATCTTGCAGGAGGATAACAATCAGCCCATTTGCTGACTGAGAGACTACAGCCACTTAGAGTTGTGCACCCAGAAAGAGGAAAGAGACATTAGGTGAGTCACTAAGCCCAGAGATTTGATTGCTTATACACGCATGGATGCCAAGGAAACAAAAACAACCATTCCAGACAAAGACGAAAACATAAATAGAACCATATGCTCTTTGATATCTATTTATAATTAAGGCAACAAGTCATGCACTGAGAGAACCTGTGAACCAGCTTTTCCTCTCCCTTTGCGATTATCCTCTCTATCTTCCAATCATTCTCTCCACTTGCTGTAATGAGGTAATTTGTCTGCAGAGCACTGAATGCACGCTGATATCTGAGACTTCTTGAAGTTAAATATTTACTTTATGAGGAACTGTGGACTACTTTCAGGGCATGTGGGAATATAGATGTTAGAACATTTGTAGTTTCTCAAATGAAATTTCTGCCTTTTCAAGTGTCTGCAGGTAATCCGGTTAATCAGTGTCAACAATCAATAATTAGCATCTTTGAAAACCTTTTCGTGACACAGTTGATGTGTTCTTGCACAAATACCCTGATGTCATACCTGAGCAGGGAATTTCCAGACATTTGCTGACTCTGTGCAACAGCTTTCTTTTGTCTCTGCTTTTGTGTTGTGCATATTTATGCAGTAAGACGTGCATCTTTGTACCTGTACGGTCGCTTATTTGTCCCTGTAAAGACCCTGTAGTAGACCAGAAATTCTGTTTATGAGTTAAGAAGACTTAGATGTAGTTTGATGCAAATTTTCTGCAGCAAGGAATTATTTCTAGTGTTATTAATCCCCAGTAGACAGGCTTTCAAACCCCTAATTAAAACATTATAAACTGGTCCACCCCAAGGATCGATCCCCCGGCACAAGCAGATTATAATGTATGCGGTGAAGAGCCAGGAGGACCTGTGATTTCTAACTCCTGGAAACCAAACAACCTCCGGCTAAGTGGATGGCACAACACAGAAGAACTACCTCGTTGGGTCAGGCATTTAAGTCTACCATGAACTTTATGACTGAGAACCTACACAGACATTTAGGCACAAACCATAAAATGTAACACAGATTTCATTTTTGACTGAATGAAGGTGCTGGATAAACGTCAACAGATATGTGAATACTTTAATTTTAAAGTAATCTGGATCCCCACTGGGGACCAGTTATGGTTTTTACAGCATCCCATAGCGGTACAATAATTGTCTGGTTTCTTCAAAGCTCAAAGTGTTTGATGGAGAGACGAACCAACAGGCTGAGGTTGTCAACACCAAAGACACTGCTAAAAAGATAACAACAAACTGCATTTAAACTTACACAGAATTATTGGTGGGTACATTTATATAGCACCGATAAGGTGGCACCTCATTGGTTATAACACTGTGATTATTCTGTATGAGGACACATTGTAAAAGATCAGAGTTGCTAAAATATAGCGAGAGTACCAACAGGCTTTTCTTTCATATGTTAAAATGACAACATAGAAATAAACAGTTTTAATTGTGTACATGTAACAAATCTAGACAAAAAAAAAGACGTGGGTCCAGACAACCTTATCAAAAAGCTGATTGTACTGAATATATTTTAGAAGTCAGAAACTGTTATAGTTACAGTTTACACAGTACTTAACCTGTATAACATGGTGAACACAGAGAATTCTAATTATGATGTACCTCACTTGTTCTCGGACAGGCTCTTTCATGTCACTGCAGTCCCTTCTTACTTTAGCAAGCGTAGCTCTTCACACATGGGGAGCTAAGATTGCCTTAAAGATGAATTAGTTCATGTTAGCACTCCTGCAAAAGTGCTGTGTCATCACAGACTCACAGTATATTTTTACTGAAACCTTGTTATGATTTTTTTTTTAAAGAAGAAGAAACAAATATCAAAATCAGGTATATTTTAGTGGGTGAGTCACTCAAGACATTTGGGACATGGCTACCTTCACTCAGCTTGGCAACCCAGTATAGTACAGAGCTGACTGAGAAATAGTAGATACACCTGAATAAATACACCTCTTCCTCTTGTTAGTTCAAAATAATCCCATTTCCTTAAGTTAAATCAGCCCCGTGGGTCATTTTGCACTTTCTTTACAGTCTCTGCATTCATCATCATCATCATCATCATCGTTGTCGTCTCATCACACAGAGACAAAGGAGGTTCAGATCTCTTCATAACATTGTCAAGAGACTGTACTTTTTTTCTCAAACTCTATGAAAATGTAGCAAACGATCAAAGCAAATCATGTTCACAAGGAGCTGCATGTCATTTTTGGGTAAAGTAAAAGAACAAAAAAAACAAGCAGACTGGAGTTTGTCATACAAACATTTCTCAGAGGCAGAGCTGCTCTGAAGGCAGAAATAATCTCATTAGTTCAGTTATAGTAAAGCTATATTATCTGACCCCACTTGATCAACAAGTTTGTGTTAACTAGTGACAACTAGCTGGTATCTCTACAATCTGCTAATGATCCTGCTCATACATTGATGATGACGCTGTCTTTAAATTGCACAAAAGTTTGGTGGCTGGAGCCAGAGAACATTAGCCTGAAGCAAAACTTGTGTCTATATTAAACTGGAGCCTTTTGAAGTCTGAAGTTTAGACTTATGTCTGACAAGTTTCGCGTTCACTGTGCACACGTAGCACCGACTCTTCCACCATAACCAGCAAACTGAATTTCAAACACGAATCGTAACAACTTTGTCATCACAGGTTGATGAAGGGAAGCATGATTTGTGGTCTGAGTTATTGTTGTTTTTGTTGTTTGTTTGTTTGTTTGTTTTTGACAAAACTACATGGATGCTACATTTTTCACTTCAAATCCAGTTTCTTTTTCTCTTTTATATTACAAAGTCTCTTAAATACTTCATCTGTTTTTAGTGGGCTTTGCATTGTATGCATCTTGAAGGCGCTTGTCCATTAGTTTACACATCTGGCTTGACTGTGTTAAAGCTACAGTGGACAAAATCGTTTTGGCAACAATGAAAAAAAAGAAAATTGATAACCTCCCAGCACGCTGTAATCCAGCAGTTGCAGAGGAAAGTGGACTGCTGCACTTTCTCTGGGTTTTGTTTTTAGGCTTTAAAAAGCTAGCTCATGATCGGCGAGGCAATCCGCACAGCTGATCGCCAAGAGGTGAAATAATAATTCTGTGACCACACCATTAAAAAGTAGCTTTATTTAAAGCTGACTCCAGATTATCCCACTGTGAAGTGCTGCACCTCTCCCTCCACGTCTGCTCCACTTGGATTGCTAACTCTTGGTGTGCCCATGCTCACTGAATCTCTTCCACCTCTGTTCAAAACGGTCAAACCTCACTTGATGCCAGCTGGGAAAAGAGGACAAACTTGAAGAGAGCCAAAACTGAAAAACTTAGTGCTACCTTCTGACCTCATATGCCTTTTTGGCCTTAAACAAGTCCTCCACTAGAAACTGCTTTCTGGTCTCTGGGCCATTCCCAGCTATGGTCGATAGTGATGATCATCGCTATCATGGTTGCGTTAGTTTGACTTAAAAAAAAGTCTGTTTTGTGTCTGCAAAGCTAGTCATGAGTGGGTGATCCAAACATACCCAGAGCACTTGGAGCTGTGCATGGCTACACAAAGGGAGAATAACACCAAACTAAATTAATAGACTCTAAATTGCAAGTGTACACCTTTTATCTAAAGAAATGAATTCCAAGCAGGAACATGCAGGACCTTCAGGTGGGAGAGAGAGGTTTGAGTTCTGTGAAGTCAATGATGGGAAAGCCGTATGAGATGGCTGGTTATTTTTGAACTTTCTCCTTTTTTCTGCCTTTGGTTGATTTCAACCTACTGCAACTCTATCATGAATGCCGTGTACATACAGATTAAATGTGATTACCATTCCCATCTCTCACCTTATTCAGTTTGCCGGGAATGTTCTTTGGCTTTCCTTATTTACTCTCATATCTATATTTATTTCCACTTTCAGAAGAGCTCTGCCTCATAAATACTCACATTACTCAAAGTACTGTGTGTCAGATTGTGGAACCGGATTCTGTACAGTGACAGGTCAATTGACTGAAGAGCCGTGGAGTGCTGCTGGACGTACGCTCCACTCTCAGACCTCCAGGAGACTCTGAGGCACTGGTTGCTGGTGGTCAGGCTGGAGGCGACAAATGGGCTTGTTGCACATGGGGCACACGCTGCGAATCTCTAACCATTTTAGCAGACACCTGCATAAATGTGGATAGTCATGAGGCAAAGACACAAAGTTGCAAAGTTATGTGAAAAGGTTCAGTTTTAACCACGTAGCATCCATCAGATCACCAGAGAAATACTTAAGGTTCCATTTTAGCAACATGTTAAACAAGCACAGTCCCAGAAGCAAGATCATGTTACCTTTTAACTCAGCTCCTTTACATGGATTTTGGCCTTTCAGCTTTCCTATTTTAAGATTTAAACCTGAATACACCAAGTAGGTGAAAAGTCTATATAAAAGGGTCAATATGAACTGAACCTACCCTGCCCCAAAAAAGATCCCTGGCGACCCAGTGATGGTTTAGTGGTTAAAAACACAACAAAAGAGAAATACAGGAACAGTGACAGCTCACACACTTTGTAAACAGCATGTACATTCCAGAAGCTGGTCTAAAACTGCTGCTGTTATTGTCACACCTAAGCTGCAGGGTAAATTCAAGGCTCAGTTACAAAGGTCCTCCTGTTCAAACATGCACGGTCAAGAGTTCTTAGAAATCTGGTAGTCATTTCCTGCGAGCGTTGCTGGGCATCTTTTTCCAAATTTTACGGCCTCGGTGATTGCGTCAGCTGCTAATTGAAGGCAGAGACCAGCAAGAAATTTGCACATGTTGTTTCTCCAGCTGGTCGAGATCCTTGCACATTTCACTAAAACTTTTAAGCTTTAAAAAAGACGAATGGAGCCACGGTCAGGCAGTCAGCTTAGGTGCATGATTACAAGTTTGTGAAACCACTAAAACAAATGAAACATGTTTGGAGTTTGGAGTTTTCGTAACATGGAGTCAGTTGTTTGCTCTCATGAAGGTTTGATAATTACCCTGGAATGATGTACTAAACAACTTACTTTTTGTGAAAAGCATGGGAACACGGGCACACTCCAAGCTCGTCCCTGCTGCGAAACTCTTCCAAGCACACCGCACATGTTTGCTGAAAAGGCCAAATGATGGTTTAATTCAAAATTCAAAACGACTACCTTTTTTTTAACACTTATTGTGTAACATCAGGGTGTGATTTCACAATAGAGACCATCTTTTCATTCGCTCATTGGTAGCTTAAAAGTTACATTAAGATATAGCAGTTACTATAATTTTTCAGAGATCTTCCTGAAGCTCCTGAAGCACACATTTATTGCTAGCAGTGAGTACCTCGCCTGTTTCTCTTGGGTGAATAACCACAATACCAATTTTGGCATTTAATCAGTTATTCGATTGCTTTACTTTTCCAAAATCTAGTTACGCTTATTATGATGTATCAAACTGCTAAAATAATGAATTATTAATACATAACATCTAGCACAAAGTGGTAGCTACAGTCATGAAGACATGCCCGTGGAGCACCTGTAACAGCCATAACTTAAAGTAAAGTCTGCAGGACTTTATCAGTGGCTCCTACACAATGTGGCTTCAGTTCACTGAGTTTTGTGGGCATTTGTTTATGCACAAAGGTCCTGTCACAGCGTGTCAGCCGGGTTGAGGTCTGGACTTTGACTGGGTCACTTTGATTCTTTTCTTTTTTTACCCATGCGGGTTGTAGATTTGCATCTGTACCTGGGATCACTGACCTGTTTTATGACCCAGTTTGGGTCAAGCTTTATCTGTCAGACAGATGGCATATTTGACTCAGAATACTTTGGTATACAAAGGAGTTAATGGCTGACTCAGTGACTGCAAGGTGCCCAGGCCCTGTAGACTGACCAGATCACTAAAAGCCAAATGTGAGGCAAAAACTGTTTTTGTGTAGGAGAAAGCGGGATGACAACGCTGAAAAGTAGACTGAAATTTGTCACATCGAACTTGAGAATAAAACTCCAATCAATTGTGCATGTTACCAGATTGTAAATTACTATGTATGGGCCAACTATGCACCTGTTTTATTTCACTGCTATTTCAGCAGTTTGTATGTTTCACCTTTGATTAATCTAAATTTAGATGCCAAATCCATAGATTGGCATACTTTTTTCAGCCATATCTGACAATTTTTGCCATTTTTATCCAATTATGACCCCAAAAATCATTGTGTTAGTTCACACCATAGTTCCCTCCTGTGGGAAAACGAAAAATAACTCTAGCAAAGAAGACAAAAATTCTTTCTAAGAACATACTGCCACTTCATTTTTGTTGTAGAAGTTTGCATCATATTCAACAAAATCTGCTAGTTACATCTGATGACTTGTAACATTCGCTGATGAGTATGGCATCGGACAGGTGACTATCTGACTATCATAAAAAAACCTTCCCTTCATATATACTGGGTAAATGCTAGACTTTAGAGTCTATTTAAAATGTGGCTGTTATTTACTGTCATCATTTCAATAAAGCAGTACAGGTGTACTTAGTTTTTCACAGGACTGCCTAGATTACTCTGAGTGAAAACTTTCATATGACTGTAATTGCTGTAGCTAGCTAAACCTCAAAACCAGCAGCTAATGGTTAAAAAAGTAGTTCTAAAAGTAACTGGCAGGTTTTACATAATGTATAATGCTTTTACACGGTCTCCTCTTATTTGACCTTTAAAAATATGATGGCATTTTGTCATAAGAGTCAAAGGAGTAGGATGAAGTTTACACTTATCTGATCCTATCCTATATTTCCGCTGCAGTCACACCAAACAATGGTTCGCTATTTCTTTGGTTGAATTATAGATTTACTACAGCTCAGCAGTAAATTAGGCTTCCATTTAATCCCTTTATTTAGTTTTGCTTTTCACATTTTAAATCACTTAACAAAAAGGATGTATAACAAATATCTTTTAAATAGTTAACACTGGCTCTGGTTGCTGTTCATCTCAGCCCAGTTTGCCCCTTTAACTTACACCAAGTAGGCTCAGTTTCTTCTCCGCTCCTTTTAAAACAACCTGTTGAGAAGAAGGGATTTGTGTAAAATATATACATATAAATGGCAGTTCTCTAGAAAAAGCGCACATCAGTGTAACTGGATTACAATTTGGCACTTGTCATATTGGTCACAATATCAATATATTACCTCGTTGTAGCCGTACTGCCCTCTAGCACCTCGTCGCCTCAGTCTGTGAAGCACAAATAAGAAACATATTATTATTTAAATGCATGAAAGCTCTAAACTATGTCTGATGCTTCCATATCTGTCTTCACCATTACAAGTCTTGTCATGCTGTAGGAATCAGCTTGGATAGTACTTTGAGCAGGCCTGGAATTCACACAACGTGAAATTCATGTATCAGCCTGTCCATCCACTCTTGTACTGAGCAGAACTGTAACTCTGTCAGGAATGTGCGCTTGTAGGAAAAAAATCTGGCTGAAATTCAGTTTTACTGCACTGATCACAAGCTGTGTAAAGCATAAATAGATTAGCATTATTTTGGGTTTGGGGAACAAGCAAATAGCTAGTTCACCAATCCCTTACTAAATTTGAAGGATAAGTAAAAGCACCTTTGTCTCCAGGGTATCTTCGCTACACCTTTGCTAGCGAAACCACAATATGACTGATGAAACATGACTTCATCAATCCATTTACACTGACTTTTTCCAGGAATGCTAGCGCTTGAAAGCAGCACCCTGTCCTAACCCTGTTCTGTCAGCACTTCATTTTGTCAAACAACAATGTTCCATGTATTTCCACATAATGCAATGACAGCGGAAAATACTATCTCCTAATGTTCAGAGTCAGCCATTAAGATCTGCTCATGTGAACCCACCCCATGATATAATTTAGCTTGTTTCAGCTGGACTGATAGTTTCATGTGACTCATTTCAACTCCCATATGAATGCCAAATGATAAAAGATGATACGAAGAAATGAGTCTGGCTGTGGATGAAACACAGTTGCAAGAAACTGAGAAATAAGATGTTTTGTTTTGTAACACACTCCAATATAGGTAAAAAAAAAAAAAAATCCTGTACAAGTGAATGGAGGATTAAATATGTCTTGGAACTATTTTTGATTCTTTTGTTATTTGTATTTGTAAGTTAGGTGTACAATTCTGACTACTTAACAACAGATTTTATGATGTTTATTAAAAGAGAAAGACCCATTTACTATTTGGAATTAGAGACCAATTCCGCTGAGAGTCTGACAGACTTAGAATGAATTAATGCACATGACTAAATGGTGACTAGTTCATAGAAACACACAAATATAAGAGTTTTGTAGAGCTATCTGATGCAGGAGCTCTAAAGCTGCACTGCCTTTTGTCCTGTACCTGAACAGGTAGCAGCAGAAGATGAGGCTGAGCATGAGGATGAAGAGGCCGATGCCCAGGATGATTATGTAGACGTTGAGCGGCAGTTCGTGCAATGTTTCTGATGTCATCTTGCAGTAAGGATCAGAGTTCTGCAGTCCGAGGTTACATAGACACCCTAAGAGAATAGGATACACACAGAGGAAAAAGACTGCACCCAGTGTATAAACTACCTCAACCTGTATTAAAACAGCTAGAGCAACACAGTTTGGCTCACAAGAAAACTACTTCCATAACTACTTGCACGTTAGTGTAAACCAGTCCCACCACAATAGCTTAACACAGCTGATTTTTTATACTAAGGAAAGTTGCTTTAATGACATAATAAACATTTTAGTTATTCAGATTTATGAAAAGGTATTTTGAGCTATATAATAAATACCTATAGCAGCAATCATTTATGAATAGTTTCAAATTAAAATACAGTTAATTATTAAACTGGATCATTTTATAATATCAGTGTATAATATTTCCATAATACGTTGGTAGTGGCCTGTATGTAAGGCTCACTGTTCATATATGTTGACACAAAGAACAAGCCACTCATGAATATACTGTTGGTGATAATACAAATACGGATTCATGGTTTCTCATGCCTGATTGTATGGCAACACAATAAACAAAGCTATTAGTCAGCTAATTCAGCTGTGGAATTAAAATGCCAACAGAAATCATTAGGAAAGAAAGAAAGCATGCTTGCTTTTTCTGCACAGAATATTTATGACCTAAATAGTTTGCAAAATTCATAAAGATGTGGGCAAGCTTCTATTTAATTTTATTCTGAACAATTTATGTCCTTTGTCTGTAGTTCTGAAATGACCCTAATAGCCCAATATGTTATAGAGACATATATATATATATATATGTGCACAAAAGGAAAGGAAAAGCTAATATACACAATTGTTTTTTAATTTTTTTAAACAATTTTTTGCAATGCTTCATAACTATACTGTTTAACAGGTTCTTTTTGTTCTCTTCAGTCACTAGAAAACTCTGATGAACCAGATGTACCCTACTTGCCCGGCATCAAGTGGCAGATAAATTTATCCCTTTGCTAGGAAGCTAATGCCCATTTACCTAGCTGTAATGTTCGAACTTTTATTTTGAAATCACCGGATGTAGATAGGTACGCCGGCTGTGTGTTCATGTGCTAGCTTAGCAGTTTACAGTTGCGTGGATGCTTGTTCTATATATACGGAATAAAAGAATCTGTATGAAGACTCCGAGGCGATTTCTTCGTAAGCAGTGAAGACACAACACTAGCTATTATCTTCATATCTAAACGTTGCCATTAGCTACTTAGCTAAAGGCTATGTAGCCATTAGCTTGACCAGAGTAGTAGCTAAGAGCTAAGGACTGATCAACGTGTAACATTTAGCAGCTACAACCAGAACTTTCCTCGGCAGTTGTTGGACAACAAGTAGCCTAGAGTTGTTATCAGTTGTTAATGTTGCCTGCATTAGCAAACATTTTAGCCTTTAAAACCAGGCTGTTAAACTTGTTTCAAAAAATATACTAGTCTGGACTTCCCATGTGTGTCACGTTGCTATTTTAGATCAAGGGAATGAAGGTCAACAACATAAGTTTAAGACCTGTGTGTATAACACATTTTTATGTGAGTATTAGACCACCCAGCTCCACCAGAGGCTCTTCAGGTTGTTTTGTTGCTTTAATTAATTTATTATTAACAATAATATAAAATTATGCACAAAAGGAATTACTAATGTACAAAAAAAGTGGTTTTATTTATATATGTTTATATATAAATATATGCGGTGACCCCTAGAGACAAAACACGTACAAACTCCAAAAAGCACGTACAAACTCCAAAACACATTTCTAGCATGAACTGAACTTCCAAAACAAAGCTACCTAGATCACTTAAATTACACAATTGAAAGCATATGTGTATGGTTTATGTATTTAAAAAAAAGTTAATTTACCTGTTATTACCACACACCAAATCCGGTCGTTGGTACTTGCTGGCTTGTGTAGCCACTAGGTAACAAAAGCTCAACACTGCCCCTAGCATCCTGGAGCACTTCTGTTGTCTTTTGTACGTGTTTTGAGTTTTTATGTGCTTCTGAGTTTTTTCGTGTTTTGGGGTTTGTACGTGTTTTTACGTGTTTTTGGAGTTTGTACGTGTTTTTGGAGTTTGTACGTGCTTCAGAGTTCGTACGTGATTTGAAGTTTGTATGCGCTTTGTCTCTAGGGGCCACCGTAAATATACGTTTATTTATTCACTCCACATAAAATGTAATAAATAAATCATATAATACAAAAATCAACTATTCACATTTCAACTTTTAACTATTAAAATTTTCAGCTTTTTCCTTTTACAAATTTAAAGTGAAACAACACAAAACACTGCAAACCACAACACAATTAAATATAAATTATAATATGAAAACAAAAAGAACATGCATATTCTCTGTCATATGGGCCTGCATGAATAAACTTTCTGAATCCTTTGTCCCTGGCTCTTTCTGTCTTTCCCTCCCGCTCTGTTCCTGTGCTACTGAGCTTAACTACCGCCCCTCCCCCCTCTGCCCAGCGTAAAGCACAAGGCTCGCATGTTGAGTGAAGCGGGGGAAAGTGCGAGAGAGAGGGTGAAAGAAAAAAAAACAACAACAAAAAACCCACGAGCCGGCTCGCCTCGTTCATGTCAAACACCCGGCTCTAAGAGCCATTTCGTTTGCGACCGACCCATCACTACTCCACAGTGGATGTAGGGCTGGGTTTTAGGGGGTGCACTCTTGTGTCTGTGCAGTCTGTAAAGCCTGGCACACGAGCTGCACACGACATCTGTGTAGCCTCTTGTTTCAAATTGCAAACTGCTTACCCTGTTAGCATTCTTGGGCTTCCCAGAGTGTTTGAATTCAGGGGAAAGTTGTGGGAAAGTATTGTGGGATTTTGGGGTCAGATTTTTGTTTCTGGTGATGTTTGTTATCCTCATGATGAAGACGGAGAAAACAAGCAGCTTTCCACACCCTAAAATAGACCAACTTTAATATGAACTTTTATATCTCTCCTTGCATCACAAAGGAATGTGTTCTACTTGCTTTTTGGCCCAACACCCCTTAGTTTAGCTTGGGGAGAAACAAGTTCTTAGCCTGAGGGGTTTGAGCAAGGCACTTTTCATTCCATGCAACAAACGTCAGGTTTAAACCACAGTAATTAATGTTTTCACAAGACTAAAGTGCAGGAAGTTAAGCTACAGTGGAGGAAGTCTGGTTCAGAAGTCACTCTCTAATGGACAAGGGTCACTGCAGCAGGTGACTGTCTCAGGGGGTTTTAGGAGGAGGGTTAAGGAGGACGTCTGGACGAAGGAGGTAATCTTAGCACGATGCTAGTAAATCATTGATAGTGGAGCACTAAAGGCTAGGCTACTGTGCACATGCATTAGTTGGGGATAGGATTATATCATTGTTAAACATGACTAGTTTTATTTTGATGTGTTTTGGATGGAAAATTTGTAGAAATGTGTAGCATAAAAATCTTTAAGATGATTAAGTAGGAAAAACTTTTTTGCAGTCATTTTTTTAAAATTATAAAAATAGTAAAACATGTTGTGGCCTAGTTGTTACTGTTGTCATAACTTCATGACATCAGGATAGGGTTGGGTCAGCTCTTCACTAATCTAGTGACTGTGGAAAGTCCTTCCTCACCTCTTAGTAACAATTATATATAAACATGTCTTACCTACAAACAGCTTAATAATGTATAAATCAGTTGCTAGAAAACACCAGTAGCATTATCCAATCAAAATCAGTTGACTATGTATAAGGAAATCGTGGTGGAACAGCTTAATATAACTCTTTTAGGAGGGCAAACTGGCTCCAGGTCACTTACCGTTACACCAGTGGACAGGATGCATCAAATGTTCATATAGAAATGTTCATATAGCAAACCCAGTAAGCCGTTCCAGTATCACAAACTATGATTTGCACAACTTTTCTGGGATTGTTTCCAGCACTGAAAATGATGTCCGCCTCCAGGTTCCTCTTATACCTGTGTTAAATCCTTGTGGTCTAGAGTCAGTACACCTGATCAGAGACACCTAGGACCTTGAACACAATGTTTCAGTCTGCTGTGATGATTTTACCCCATGAATGTCATAAAAAACATCCACTTATGTGAGATTTTGACTCCCAGACGGCTGCGAATGTATCAGAGGTAGAAACTAAAGTGCTCCTTTGTGCATTCCCCACAAATGACAAAGAATCCGACGTGGAGTTGTGCTGATGAGAAGACACCAATGTCACTGACAAGACAAGGAAATGTATTCCAAATCCCATACAGCACTTTTGTTATGAGCCTCTGGCTTTGTTTCCCCCTTCAAAACACTGTGACAAGGCTGTCCTTCCCTTCCTCTTCTTCTGTTCTCTTTTTCCTTTCTTCTCACTCCTCTGTCCGCTCCTTTTAGATCTCCACGCCGCTTTCGTCCTCTCTGGCTGTGAAAACCTGCCGTTGCCAATTATGGAGAGACAAAGGGAGGGACGTGGACGGGTTCTCCCGGCAGCACAGCCAGCCAAGCAGGCAGGCAGCCTCTCAGTGTTCCCGTGGAAAGCAGCAACTCATCTCTTCCCCCGGCTTCCTGCTGTGAACACAGAACACGGGGAGGTATGTCAACGCAGGAAGACAATGCAGCCAATGTTAACTCAGACCTAGGGTCTCCTCTCTCCGCCTGTGGTTTCTTTTTTTTCTCTTTTCTTCTCACATTCACTCGCCTTCCTCGTCTCTCTTCCCCACGTTCTCTGTCTAAAGGTCTCGGTTTGTAAACAGATCCCTGCTCATGTGATTTGCTGTCTGCATCATAGCTCTGCTTTCACCGCCCCCTCCTTCCTCCCTCCTTCCCAGCTCGCCTGCGTGCCCTCCTTTTACCCCTCTGGGTTTTCCTTCCACCCACTCTCTCCCCCACCCCATCCCCACCTTCCTATGCAGCTGCAAGCTATTATTGAAGTAGCTGCAGAGCAGATGGCAGACAGGCAGATGAGGGGAAAGTCAGCGATATGACAGTTGAAAGATAGTTTGATTAATTAGATGCAGTGTTTTCCACTGATAAACAGCAACTCGCTTTGTTTATGCAAAACTCGTAACCCGAACCAAAGGGGAATTTTGAATCCCTCAAAACTTCCATAAGCCAACTTCCAACTGAACTAAAAATGTAACTGCCTCTGGGCCCTTGCCCATGTATAAAAATAGCTTCAATAAGCTCAATAATCGTAAAGATAAGTGTCAATTGCAGGCGATAAGACAGGAAGAGAGATGTTAGCAGATAGCTAATCATGATCGGTAAACATGGAAGGAATATGACACAGAAAGACAGAAGGTTCAGTACAGCTGTTATTGACAGACAGATGGATGGGTGTGTCACTGTGTTTGCTGGTTGTTGCTTTCACCTTTCCAGTGCTTTCACCTGTACAAATGAACCTAGCCAAAGGTAAACAGTCCAGATAAACCACTGTAAATGCAGCCTGAGGTTATGGTCCAGGAAAAAAAAGGAAGAAATGTAGAGCTCTGCAAAGTGAGGATTAACGGGTTCAATGAGTTTCTACCCTCAGACCTGCTTTTATAGAAGAAAAATTACAACCCGCCTTATGACTTCAGCTTTTGGCCAGTAAATACTTTTGTTCAGGAGTGAATAATAAATGTTTCATCTCACGAAGAATCACATTAAAAAGAAAAAAGTTATTTAAGTAGCTATAAAAAAGCTGGTTATGGGACTTCTGTGATTTCTTAACGGTACAGCGTGTAAAATCTAACCACTAGATGTCAGTACATGGCAGATTACGGTTAACTGAATGCTTTTTTCTTACTCCTCCCAATTTAAGTGCATAATCCTGTCTATGGTGGCCACTGTAGGACAAACAACTCGGCCAACAGTACAATTGTAGCGAGTGTTTGCTGTCAGTTAGCTGTTTATGCCACATCTATTTCTCCGAAGGAGGCTGTAAAACTTTCCGAAAAGACTCCGATATGCCTCGATTGTCATGGTTCCCTGTGTCTCCCCAGCGATCTCGGTGTTGCTGTTGTTGCTTTCTCTCTCTGGCCTTTCTCTCTTGCTCGCCTCTGCTGGGGTTCCCACCTCTGGCCCATGCCCTTGCAAGTAATCACGCACCTGCAGCTCATTGTCCTGAACTTCAGCCACTATTTAGGCGACAGCTCAGCGTTTCTCGTCACTGGATCGTTGTACGACACTCACCAATGTAGCCCCGACTCTTTCCTGTGTATCGTCGTTTCTCGTGTTTCCCTGGCTTCTAATTTTCTTCCCCTGTACATAGATCTTCTTGGACCCATCCCCGTTTCCACCCCTGGAGTTGCAATCTTGATTGTTTTGGTGAGTGGTGTGTGTGGCCAAAGAAGTGTGTGGCTTTCCCCCTCCTTCCCTGGATTCCCTGGAGCCCTATTCCCCACGCACTTTGTATATAGCACTCGGTGATCGTGTAAATAAACTGTTTATTCTCAACATCAACAGAGTCCTGCGCCTGAGTTCACTCGTTTGTTGTGACATCAATGAATCAGTGAAGCTCACGTGTCCGTTTCAGCGATACCAAGGTGAGTTATGGAGAATATTCTAGGATATTCTGTCAGTAAGCGCTGCTGTTAGCTGCTGTTAGCTGCTGTTAGCCAATGTAAGAAACTTGAAACTGTCTTGTTGATCTAACATCAATGGACTCGGCCACTTAGTGAATAAACTCTTACACGATCTGATACTTTAATCAAACTGTTTATCATCTGACAAAGTAATTGCGACAGTATTGAGAATAACCAAACATATTGATTCACGATTTCAACTTCAGTTAAGGAGATGACGCTTGAGTTGAGGAGGAATAATGAGAAGGACGATGAAAATATACACATAAAAATATTAAATGGTCACATATAGTTTGAAAGAAGTATTTGTGGTCTTTAAATTAAAAGTTACTTTTAAGACATACTACATGTGTTACTGGTCTCAAGCCACAGACAAAAAAACACAACTGGGCATAACAGCAATATCCACCTCAGTCACTGTATACATGAAGTCAGCATAACATGCAAACCAGTGCCTGCCCCCATGTATTTTTAATGGATTCATTCTAAGTTTATGACAATGCATGAATTTGATGGATGATGTAATTAAACACTAATCAGTGTATATTTATGAGTACAACATTCCTTTTTTTCTTTACATAACCTGAAAAAATTACTTATTGTACCTTTTAAGCTGAGTGAGTCTAGCAAAATCAATTTCCTGCTCAGTTGATGTGTGGTGTAAGTGCTATAATATAAAATTAAAATGGAAATAGAATGAGGTAAAAGTGATTTATTTGTTTTTGTATGTCAGAAATATTTATAACTGAGAAAAATATCCAGTTAACATTAAAAGAAACAATAATGTAAAGTATACGTATTCCATGTTCAGCCTGTGCGGCTGCTTCGGAGAATCCAATGGTCCATCTAGTGGTTGTTGTGCAGAAGTGCAGAACGGGCTCAGTGCAGCTCCTGAAAGTAGAATTGAGTTCACAGAAAACCCATTCACATTAAACTCGAGACTCTAATAATTATCCAGACACAAAGCTATCTCAGTCCTTTAAGTAGGACTCAAACTCCTTTAGCATTGTCCCAGGAAGTCCCACACACTTTGCCATCTGATCTGTTATTGCTTTGTGGTCGATGGTCTCAGTTGCAGAACTAAGATCCTGTGATACTAAAATCTGCCATTCACTATGTTTAGGTTAAACGTGGTTAAACTGCTAATTGTAAGACATCAAAGCAGTTGTTTAATTCCAAAAAGCTGCTCAGTTGATTAAAAACAGCAACTTGTCCCTTGGCTTTAAATAAAATGTAACATGGGCCAAAAGAAAACAAAATTATTATAATTATTCTGTCAACTGTTCAGTGGCAAGGTGTGTTTCTAATTCCTGTATTACACAATGCATCCTGATTATACATTGATCAGTCATAACATTATGATCACCTGCCTAAAACTGTGTTGTGTTGCTAACAAAGACCTTGTGCTGGCACCAAGATGTTAGCAACAGATCCTTTAAGTCTTATAAATTGTGAGGCGGGGCCTCCATGCATCTGACTTGTTTGCCCGGTACACAGATGCTCGATTGGATTGAGACCTGGAGGATTTGGAGGCCAAGTCAACACCTCAAACTCATTGTTGTGCTCCTCAAACCGTTCCTGAAGCATTTTTGCTTACTACCAGTTTTGCCTTACTTGTCTGTGGCTATGCAGCCCCATTCACAGCGAACCGATACACTGTGTATTGTGACATCTTCCTATCAGAACCAGCATTAACTTTTTTGTGCAGTTTGAGCCACAGTAGCTTGTCTGCTGGATTGGACCACCAGCCTTCACTCACCATGTGTATCAGTGTCTTGGCCCATGATCATTGGTTCACCACTGTTACCTCCTTGGATCACTTTTGATAGATACTGACCACTGCAGACCAGGAACACCCCACAAGAACTGGAGATTTGGAGATGCCCAAAGCTGACCCAGCCATCCAGCCATCACATTTTGGACCTTGTGCTTTTTACTGACTCTAGCACAGCAACTTTGAGGACAAAATGGCCACTTGCTCTCTAATATATCCCACTCAGGTTCCATGATCACTGTGCATCTTGGTTGTGTTATTGTTTCCCATCTTTTAAGCTCCTGTTTTCTCTGGTTTTAATCATGTAACACATGTAATGCAGAAATAATGGGTCCAGCTCTACAGCAGCATTTACGTTTATTATTATACTGAAGTTGTGTTTTTGTTGCTTTTGTGTTGATCTGTATATGTAACAGCATGCAGAGGTCACAGGTCACCGAGAGCAGAGCACGGTGCCGGCTGCTGATATCTTCACTGTGGGGCACCTCCGTCTTCCACGAGGTGAAAAGATAAAGCGGAGGTGGTGAAGGGCACTGTTTAACAAATCCCTGAGCCTCAAGGCACTGGAGAAGTCCGGCAAGACCACACAGGCTTTTCTCTTAAATATCTGCACGGTCATAATACAGAGCATACATGTTAAAACAATAGAAACAGTACTTAAAACTTTCAGTGCTGTGTACATATGTATTTCTCTGAATCAGTGCTTTTAAATGCTGGAGAGTAAGCACCTTTACATCAATGGTGGTGGGAGGGAGGAGGCTGAGCAGCAGGTCTCTTTCATACCAAGATCGTGGGAGGTTATCAATTTCAATAGACACAGTCTGACGAGAGAAAAACAAAAGATTTCATAAAATTATCAAAACATCCATCATCAGCCATAAAAAACAAACCTTAAGATTTTTTTTCTTTTTTGTGGGAGTCCAAATGTTTCATTACCTGTCTGTAAGCTGGAAACAGTGGTTCCCACAGAATGGGACGTCTGTGCAGTGGGCGGTAACTACAGCTGCCTGGTGGTGCTCGATGGGGACGTTCGGATCTTTTATCCTTGGGGCCCTCTCTGACCTCCCTGATGCCTACTTGAGCTACGAAGAAGACTTTGGTGCTGCTCTTCATTTCCCTCAAAGCCACGGCAGCTTCATCGGCACTGCGGTAATGCACCATCCCGTATCTGTGATTGTTTTTCACAATCGTCTGAAGTACGAGAGGAAAATCGTGAAGCAAATGAAAGTGAATTTTGCATTTCTAAAGCACGTTTGTAAGACAGTTACCTGAACAGAGATGACACATCCAAAAGATGAGAACATGCTGAGCAGATCCTTGGCAGTAACAGTTTGGTCAGAATTCAGATAGACTTTCATTTTCTGTCAGAGTAAAGCACAGAGTCAGACAGCAAAGCACAGAGCTGACGTCCTGTTATGATCCTCAGAAAGCAGAAGGGAAACGTACGTCGGTCCACTCAACATTTCTCCCGTCTGAAGGAACCGTCTGTTTGGAAGCCTCACTGGGTGGATAGCAGTTTTCATATCTGATGGCGTCCACTGCAATTATGCATCAAAACTTAACTGTAATGTCAGAATACAGCTTTTGAGTGCAGATTTGGTCACATGTCAACTGAAGAAAAACAAAAACAAATTTGTAAAATAAGCAGAGTTGTAACCAAGTGTAGGCCTGTGACAGAAATCCTAAAAGTAAGACACCGTTACAGCTTTGAAAATAAATTTGATTCAAACCAGTTTGTTTCCTAGCAACATGATGCAAATCTGCACCTTACAGCAGAACTAACTTAATTTTGGCATTCAGACCCCATTCATATTTTAAATAATATTTCATGTTGTGAAATAGAAAACATGGACTCACACGTCCAGGGCGAGTGATGAGTTTTGTTCAACTATTTAACAGCAATTCTGGACTCAAGTGACGCGTGAATGTAAAAATGCCTTACTGCTACTTAAAGTCATGACATGAAAAGAAAAGTGGTTTTCACATATTTGACTGTAGACATACAAAGTACAGCTGGGAATGCCTTTTGTTTGTTGTTGTTGTTGTTTGCAGAAAGGTGACTGAATACTGTGTTTTCACAAATTAAAATGTCCTCGTGGTGATGACCAGAGAGAAATGATGACAGACAAAGTCAATATCAGTAGAGACGCATCAGATTAGTGCCACATTCATTCTGCAGTAGAAACAGGAGTTCTTTAAAAGATTGTGATTATTTCTGTATTTTCACAGATTAAAAGAAAACACTGAGCATTGATTCATTGTTGCCTTCAGGATCCCATCTGAACCCTTTCTCAGAGAGCATTACAATGGCTTCATTGTAGCTGCCTAACTTCCTTCAAAACTCCTTCATCACTTTAGTTTGCTGGCTTACGTCACATAAACCCTTTTCTCTAAACACCCCAAATTACTAAATACTTAAAATAACTTACAGCTGTACAGTGTAGGAATGTTTTTTTAAAAGTTCTTACGGTATAATGCTTCTTTGCTTCTGCTGTTCCACTGCACCCGACTACGTTTACTTCCTTTACTCACCTCTTTTCAATGTATATTCAATTGATCCACCTGTCCTTTGTCGCTGATCTTAGATCTTTTTCACCCATTAATTAGATTTCACAATAAAAAAAAATCTACTAACATATGATCCTGTGTAAAATTGTTGATGCATAGTGACCTTCTTATCACTTCCACAGGTGGTCTCATGTGTTGTTTTGCATTTAGAAGCTGTTCTTGAGCACATGAGCTGCTGTAGGTTTGAAACTCAAGTCATTATTTTATTCAACAGTGCCACCTGCTGTTGAATTCATGAACTACCAGATGAGTTTAACTTTTCCCTAGGGGTCAGGGGTCAGATCATCCTCCCCTACATCCACAAATCTTCTCTGTGATCTTCTTTTCCTCCTGCCTGGAAGCTCCATCTTCAATATCCTTTGTCAAATATATCCACTATCCATCTTCTCAACATGACCAAATCTCAGTCTTGCCTCTCTACCTTTATCTCCAAAACACTAACTCTGGATTCATCAAGTCATCAAAGTGCTGCTTCTATCATCTCAACATATTCTCTTCAATAGTTGAATTGTCTGTGTCCATGTTTTTAAATCCCTCCAGGCCCTGTTTGCACAAGGAAGCAGTGACAGAGCTGAGGCAGAAAACAAGTGCCAATCAAACCGAACTCGAAAGTAAAAAGACTGACATTAAGAAACAAACATGTAATCTTAGTATTGTGCTAGTAAAACGTACCAGCACTTAAAGGAAAATACTAAAAAACTGAACTTATTTAACAATTCTTAAACACACAGCTGTGTTTCGGCAGCTTTACTTTGAAAATCAAAGTGGCTACTTTGGCTCTGCTCCTGCTGTACAACATCCAAATGCATTTACTGTGCGCAGATCAAAGTGTAAGAACTACACTTTCTATCAGCTACCATCCAAATGGAGTTGAATATTCAGTGTGTGTGCCGTATGACGTAGGCTGGCTGCCTGGGCAGACAGTTAAATTTTTTCTTCTTTTTGACTGGCTAAACTTGACTAAACAGACAGTTGTGGCTAGAATCTGATTTGTTACATCTTATACCTCTATGGCAGGTATAAGTCAGACTCAGATCATTATAAGGCCCATTGCTTTCATCCTCTTTGCAACTGCCAAACCCAGATGTTCATTGGATTGTCAGACTGAGAAGCGTGATTTGTCACTCCAGAGAACACGTCTGCACTCTACAGTCCAGTGGCAGTGTGCTTTACACCACTACATCCAGCATTGCACTTGGAGATGTAAGGCTTGGATGCCATGAAAACCCATTTCATGAAGCTCTCTGTGCACGGTTCTTGAGCTAATCTGAAGGTCACATGACGTTTGGAGGTCTGTAGTAATTGAATCTGCAGAAAGTTGGTGACCTCGGTGCAGCACGTGCCTCAGCATCCACTGACCCCGCTCTGTGATTTTAAGCGGCCTAACACTTCATGCCTGAGCTGCTGATCATCTAACATTCATCAATTCCAGCTCCTCAGGGTACTGAATTTGGGCTAAAAAACCCAAACAAACAATCTTCAGTGTAAAACATCTTCAGTGTAAGCTTTCAACAGGTAACCTCTGTCGCTAGTAACATTATATGACACTTGGATTTTAGCACTGAGCTTTTGCACAACATTTGCCTGTAACTGGTGTGTTATGTGCCTATACAGGGAGTGCAGAATTATTAGGCAAGTTGTATTTTTGAGGAATATTATTGAACAACAACCATGTTCTCA